AATCTAATAAAAGGCTATTAAAAGTTAATATTTAAACTAAAAATTATTAAATTAATAGTGTAAAGTTTAATTTGTAATTTTAAAGAAAATTTTATAAAATAAAAGTTTTTTTCAATGCAAGAGGCAGCATCCGCCGGCCGTAGCCGGGTAAGTACCTCATTTTGGTTTTGCTATAAAAAGTGGTCCGGAACAGGATATTTTGAACTAAAAATGTTAATGGAATAGTGTATTTAACAAATTTAAAACTATTTTGGTTAATTTGTTAATATTTAATAGAAAAAATTAAAAATTTTCTTAAATGCAATTTGCTGGTAGTTACTTGTTCCATCTTGGTTTGTTCTGCTTTTTTTGCATCGTATATACATATATGAAGTGTGAGTGTGTTTTGTAGTTGTTTTTAACAAATCTCAACGTCACAGAAAGTATAATTGTTATTGTTGCTTGTTTTCTTAGTGTGACGTCATGGACAAAGCAAGCACAAATATTACATGTAAATTCTTTAACTTACTGTTGTTGTTGTTTTCTTGCAATTGCTTTGTTTACCTTTTTCACTTGTTGCTCTTCTGTCATTTTAGTTTAAAGAAGGCAATCAATAAGATCACGCGTAATTTTTAAGACGTCATTTAATTAAATTGTTAAAATTGTAATAAAAGGTTATTAAAAGTTAATATTTAAACTTAAAATTATTAAATTGATAGTGTAAAGTGTAATTTTGTAGTGTTAAAGAAAATTTTATAAAATAATAGTTGTTTTCAATGCAAGAGGCACCAGCAGCCGTCCGTTGCCGGGTAAGTACCTCATATTGGTTTTTCTATAAAAAGTGGTTCGGAACAGGATATTTTGGACTTAAAATGTTAAAGGAATAATTTATTTAAGAAAAAGAAAACAATTTTGTTTAATTTGTTAATATTTAATAGAAAAACTAAAATTTTTCTTAAATGCAATTTGCTGGTAGTTACTTGTTCCATCTTGGTTTGTTCAGCTTTTTTGCATCGTATATGAAGTGTGAGTGTGTTTGTTGTTGTTTTTAACAATGTTCAACTTCACAGAGAGTATAATTGTTGTTTGTTTTCTTATTGTGACGTCATGGACAAAGCATGCATAAACATTAAATGCAAATTGTTTGTTTTCTTAGTGTGACGTCATGGACAAAGCAAGCACAAACATTACATGCAAATTCTTTTACTTGCTGTTGTTGTTTTTGCAATTGCTTTGTTTACCTATTTCACTTGTTGCTCTTCTGTCAATTTAGTTTAAAGAAAACAATCTATCATATCACGCGTGATTTTTAAGGCGTCATTTAATTAAATTGTTAAAAATCTAATAAAAGGCTATTAAAAGTTAATATTTAAACTAAAAATTATTAAATTAATAGTGTAAAGTGTAATTTTGTAATTTTAAAGAAAATTTTATAAAATAAAAGCTTTTTTCAATGCAAGAGGCAGCATCCGCCGGCCGTAGCCGGGTAAGTACCTCATATTGGTTTTGCTATAAAAAGTGTTCCGGAACAAGATTTTTTGGACTAAAAATGTTATTGGAATAGTTTATTTAAGAAATGTAAAACAATTTTGTTTAATTTGTTAAAATTTAATAGAAAAACATAAAATTTTTCTTAAATGCAATTTGTTGGTAGTTATTTGTTCCGTCATAGTTTGTTTTGCTTTTTTTGCATCGTATATGAAGTGTGAGTATTTTTGTTGTTATTTTTAACAATTCTCAACGTCACTGAAAGTATAATTGTTATTGTTGTTTGTTTTCTTATTGTGACGTCATTGACAAAGCAAGCACAAACATTACATGTAAATTCTTTTACTTACTGTTGTTGTTGTTTCCTTGCAATTGCTTTGTTTACCTATTTCACTTGTTGCTCTTCTGTCAATTTAGTTTAAAGAAAACAATCTATCATATCACGCGTGATTTTTAAGGCGTCATTTAATTAAATTGTTAAAAATCTAATAAAAGGCCATTAAAAGTTAATATTTAAAATAAAAATTATTAAATTAATAGTGTAAAGTGTAATTTTGTAATTTTAAAGAAAATTTTATAAAATAATAGTTGTTTTCAATGCAAGAGGCACCAGCAGCCGGCCGTTGCCGGGTAAGTACCTCATATTGCTTTTGCTATAAATAGTGGTCCATAACAGGATATTTTGGACTAAAAATGTTATCGGAGTAGTTTGTTTAAGAAATATAAAACAATATTGTTTAATTTGTTAAAATTTAATAGAAAAAATTAAAATTTTTCTTAAATGCAATTTGTTGGTAGTTATTTGTTCCGTCATAGTTTGTTTTGCTTTTTTTGCATCGTATATGAAGCGTGAGTGTTTTTGTTGTTATTTTTAACAATTCTCAACGTCACTGAAAGTATAATTGTTATTGTTGTTTGTTTTCTTATTGTGACGTCATTGACAAAGCAAGCACAAACATTACATGTAAATTCTTTTACTTACTGTTGTTGTTGTTTCCTTGCAATTGCTTTGTTTACCTTTTTCACTTGTTGCTCTTCTGTCAATTTAGTTTAAAGAAAGCAATCAATCAATCATATCACGCGTGATTTTTAAGGCGTCATTTAATTAAATTGTTAAAAATCTAATAAAAGGCTATTAAAAGTTAATATTTAAACTAAAAATTATTAAATTAATAGTGTAAAGTGTAATTTTGTAATTTTAAAGAAAATTTTATAAAATAATAGTTGTTTTCAATGCAAGAGGCACCAGCAGCCGGCCGTTGCCGGGTAAGTACCTCATATTGCTTTTGCTATAAAAAGTGGTCCGGAACAGGATATTTTGGACTAAAAATGTTATCGGAGTAGTTTGTTTAAGAAATATAAAACAATATTGTTTAATTTGTTAAAATTTAATAGAAAAAATTAAAATTTTTCTTAAATGCAATTTGTTGGTAGTTATTTGTTCCGTCATAGTTTGTTTTGCTTTTTTTGCATCGTATATAAAGTGTGAGTGTATTTTTTGTTATTTTTAATAATTCTCAACGTCACAAAGAGTATAATTGTTATTGTTGTTTATTTTCTTATTGTGACGTCATGGACAAAGCAAGCACAAACATAACATGCAAATTATTTTACTTGCTGTTGTTGTTTTAATTGCAATTGTCTTGTATTTAAAGTATGAGTGTTTGTTGTTGTCTTAAATTTGTTAGTGAGTTGTGTGTTTTGTTATTATGATGTCATTGACATACATAATTTTGGACAAAGTAGTTTGTTGTTTTTTTATTGAGTGGGTGCTGTGTTTTGTTATTGTTGCAACGTTACAATTATGGGCAAAGTATGCACTAGTTAGAAGATAATGAAGAGTTTGTTGTTTTTTTTTTTTTTTTGTTTTCATTAAGTTTGCATTATTTGTTGTGTGTTTTGTTATTGTTTCTTCAGCATTGCGGGTGAAAGAAGTTTATACGTGCATGAACGATTGTTTTTTTTTTTTTGTTTTCCACTTGATTTTTAAATATTAAAACAATAAAAACTGTGCAAATTTTTGGTAAAAATTATTTTATTTGTAAAAGTTAAATTTTTAGTAAAAATAAAATTATTATGATTTTTTTTTTTTGCAAAAAAATTAATTTTATGTAAAATTAAATTTTTAGTAAAATTATTAAAAATAAATAAATATTTGCTTATTTAATTTAGAAAGACAAAAAAGTTAGAGTTTTATTAACAAAAGCAGAAAAGATCTCTAAACTAAAATCAAAAACCGCTAAAACCTCATCTCTAAGCCAAGACTACACCTGGCAGCACCATTTAGTACACATTGCAAGAACAAAAATACAAATTTTCAATAAAAAACATAGTGGCAGCTTAAACAAAGCAAAAACCATAAGTATTAGCAAAGTTAATAACCCCCATAATAAAAACATAGTGACAGCTTAAACAAAATGGCAGCACTGCAAACAAATTTTTAGCAAAGTTAACAACCCGTTGTAGTAATGACATCCAAGCTGGCCAAAAAATAGTAACACAGTGGCAGCTTTATTATTCTGGCAACCTCAAACATTAACTTTATTTAGTTTTAGCTAAGACACTTTATACTCTTTTACAATTATTGTTGAAACTGAACAGTAAACTAATTTAATTTCCTTTTCCTCTTTTCAGGTTTCCTTTAGGTTTGAGCAGCAAAGCAGCAAAAGTGATAAAAGTGTTTAAAATGTAAATTGCCCTAAATGGCCTTTTTTGCAAAAAAAATAATGTGATTGAGTGTTTAAAAAGTGTTTATTAAAGGTTGGTTTTCGAAAAAGTCGGTTCGGTCGCGGTATTTGTGTTATTTTTCCCATAATTTCGAGAAAATTGATCTCACGGTTACGGTATATTTCGTTATGTCTTTGCAAAAGTGAAACGGTTACGATACACCTTCCTAAAGGAAAGTAACGCGACTTTAAATCGTATTTAAGCCGTAAGGGTACGCTTTAAAAATATAATGTTTACGTAAATGTTTCATTAAGAAAAGTAACGCGACTTTAAATTGTTTGTATACTTTTGTTAACGCGACTTAAATTGTATTTGTTCGGTAGCGAAATGTTTACAAAAAAGTATTATTTACTAACACGACGCGACTTTAAATCGTTTATTGCGTTAACGATAATCAACCTTAAAGAAAAAAATATAAGTGATGTAGTAGTATGTCAATAAAAGTAGTTTTGCAAAGGGCAATGTTAATAAGAAAAGAAAAAATGATGTGTGTGTAATTGATAGGAATCTGATCATAAAATCTCATCAACCAACCCGTCAAGCAACCGCGCTTTGGTAAGTTTAAACGTTTTAAGTAATATTTTTAATAATTATTGTTAGTTATTTGAAATGAACAACTAAATTTGAAAAATTTATTATTAAAAACTAAGTATTGTTGTTTTCTTAAGACTTCAATATTTATTTAAAATTTTTATTTAAAATACTCCTACTAGCAGGGGCTATTAGTTTAGTATTTCTATCAAATCTCATTCAGTTGAAAGAATTATTTGTTTCTGTAGTAACATTATCAATTAAAACCTTTAAAATTAACGATTTTTAAAAGCAGATGGTGTAGTTGAGGTCACAAGGTCAGCATTGGTAATAAATTTACTTTCATTATTACTTTTCTCGTTGAACATAAACTGTATAAGTATGACCAAATAAGTAACAATGGCGGCAACCATCTAAAATAGTAAATAAAAGAACTCCACACATGTAGCAAAAATTAATCAAGATACTATTGTTAATTTGCACTTACACTTCCCAATAGACTTAAATTCAAGCTAAAAAACTCCTTAGCCGTTATAATAAAGCGCTGATGTAAAGTCTGTACCGAAAACTCACTAACCAAATCGTTGGAGAATTTATTACCCAAAGGTTTAACCAATTTCGAGATCAAACAACCAATATAACGACTCTGAAAAGAAAATTTAAAGCAAATGCTTTAAAATAATCACAATTTTTCATAGATTTATATACCTCGTAATAACACTCTTCAGCATACCAACATATTATGGTCAATAAAATGAAAGCTAACAAAGCAAATGCAGCATTCTGTAAAAGACCATAATAGTCTCTACCCTGACTTAGAACAGCCAATAAAATCCAATAGGAATTGCAAACAAAATCTACAAAAAACACTGCTGTCGAAGCCAATATAGACCAGCCATAGGCTGCGTTGAATATTTTTATTGTAGAATAAATCTCATTATAGCAATTTTTTATAACTACCAATAGTTGTTCATCTTCCTCCTCCTCATTAACGGATGCTACCATAATTACTTCTGATTCGTCATATTTACTTAATCCTTTAAAAACTCTTCTCAAATTACGTTCACCCATACAATTAAGAGATTTGCGTATCACTAAAGTATAATAACTTAAGTGCACTAAACCAGTTAAAAATTCCAAAGTTCTAAATTGTAAAGCTAAATAACTTTGCAGTGAACGCCAATACAATAGACTAGCTGGTGATTTGGTCTCAAATGTAGTCCACATTATAATGCCATGACCACATGTTAACAGTATTATAACACCCAAGACTATAAAGCTCAATCTCATAGCTGACATGCCTCTATGTTGCGCCTTCCTCAGCTCATCTTTTAAATCAATGTTGATCTTATTAAAATGTTCATATAAAACTAAACGTTGTTGACGCATCTTCCAAGCTTCAGCCAGCACTATTAAGTGACCCACCATATGGGTAAAGTATAGTATAAAGCTTACTAAACCATCAAGACTGTGCTCATCACCAAAAACATCATAGATTATGGCCAGATAAGTGGACCAGGCAATTTCGCAGCACCATAGTAGTATAAATACTTCATACAATTTATAGCTTCTAGTAAAGGGAGCTAAACCAAATATCCAGTAACCCAAATACATTAGTATTATGGCAGTACGGTATATTTTATTTTTCTTATAGTTATAATTCTTTATAAATGTGTCCAAACTCATGACGAAAGACCTCAACTAAGTGATAGAATTTCTAATAAGTTTAGGGATTTTATAGGTATTTTACCAACAGGAATATTATACTTTTAAAATTTGCCTAATCATGGCAATTTATAAATACATTATATTTGAGCAATTTAAGTTATTGATTGATTGGAATATTTAATTGAAATCTATTAAAGTTTAAATGGTTGTTTTTATCTTTCTCTTGAATCAAGTTTTAAAGATATATGCCTGATTGACTTGTAATTCCACACTCCTTTTTATCACTTAATATCTAATTGAAACCTATTAAGGTTTTGATCACTTGTTTCCCTATCTCTTACTCCCTTGAATCAAGTTGTAAACAGGGATGTCTGATTTTATTTTTATTCCACACTTTCGTTTACCCCTCAATCTCTATTTCAATATCCACATTATTATAACTGGCTAAAAAAGAAACGAAGTAGCTCCATTGATGACATACTTATGGAAAACTTGTCGTTTACAAATGACCATAAATGTCCAATAAAAAGCCCATGAACTAAAATAATTTAATAATTAATGTTGTTGTTATTATTAAAAACTCATTTCTTGTTTTCTTAAGATATAAATCTTTATTTTAAATACTTGTTTCTCAGAGAACAGAAGGTTTTAATTTAGTATTTCAATCAGATCTCATACAATTTACATCAATTTAAAGAATTGTTTGCTTTTGCGGTAACATTATCAATTAAACCTTTTAAAATTAACGAATAAGCAGATGAATTTGTATTATTTATAATATCAAAGGTAGATGGTGTAGTTGAGGTCATAAGGATAGACTTGGTGGTTAATTTACTTTCATTATTACTCTTCTCGGTAAACATAAACTGTATAAGTATGACCAAATAAGTAACAATGGCGGCAACCATCTAAAATAGAAAATAAAAGAACTTCATATAAAATTAATCAAGATACTATTGTTAATTTGCACTTACACTTCCCAATAGACTTAAATTCAAGCTAAAAAACTCTTTAGCTGTTATAATAAAGCGCTGATGTAAAGTCTGTACCGAAAACTCACTAACCAAATCATTGTAGAATTTATTACCCAAAGGTTTAACCAATTTCGAGATCAAACAACCAATATAACGACTCTGAAAAGAAATGAAAAGCAAATGTATTAATCATAATATTTTTTTTTAATAAACATTTTTTTAATAAACATTAATATTTTCCATAACTTTACCTCATAATAACATGCTTCAGCATACCAACATATTAAAGTCAGTAAAATAAAAGCTAATAAAGCAAAAGCAGCATTCTGTAAAAGACCATAATAATCTCTACCCTGACTAAGAACAGCCAATAATATCCAATAGGAATTGCTAACAAAATCCACAAAAAATACTGCTGTCGAAGCTAATAAAGACCAACCATAGGCCGCATTAAACATTTGTATTGTAGCATAAATCTCATTATAACAAGTCTTAAGTACAATCAAAAGTTGTTCATCTTCTTCCTCTTCATTTACAGCTGTTACCATAATTACATCTGACTGTTCATATTTATTTAAGCCTTTAAAAACTCTTCTCAAGTTACGTTCTCCCATTTGATTAAGGGTTTTGCGTATCACTAAAGTGTAATGACTCAATTGTACTATAGGTGTTAAAAATTCCAAAGTTTTAAATTGTAAAGCTAAATAGCTTTGTAGTGAGCGCCAATACAATATGCTAGCTGGAGATTTAGTCTTAAAGGTAGTCCACATAATAATACCATGACCACATGTTAATAACGTTATAACTCCCAAAACAGTGCTGCACATTCTCATAACGGATAAGCCTGCATAATGAGGTCTTTTCAGTTCGCCTTTCAAATCCACTGATATCTTTTTAAAATGTTCAACTAATGCTATGCGTTGTTGTCGCATATTAAAGGATTCCGCCAGTGCAATCAAGTGACCCAGTACATGGGTAAAATACAATATGAAACTTACTAAACCATCAAGACTATGTTCATCTCCAAATATATGATAGATGATGGCTAGATAAGTTGACCAGACAATTTCGCAACACCATAATATTACAAATATTTGATAGATTTTATAGTTTTTGGTGAATGGAGCCAAACCAAATATCCAATAGCCCAAATACATTAAAATTATGGCTATACGATATATTTTATCTTTGTTATGAGTATAAGTGCTTACAAAAACGTCTAAACTCATGTTGAAAGACCTCTACTTAGTGACAAAATGTCTAAGCTGTTTAAGGATTTTATAGGTTTTTACAAAAGGGGAATGCGGTGCTTTTAAAATATGCTTAATCATGCTAATTTATAAATAAATTTTATACGAACAATTAAGGTTATTAAAAGTGATTGAAATATTTAATTGAAACCTATTAAAGTTTTGATATCTTTGACCCTCTATCTCTCTCTCTCTCTCTTGATTGAAGTTTTTACTAGTTATGTCCCCTTTAAACCCTTAAACACTAATTTAATACTCACATTATTATTACTTGCATCCGTAAAATAGAATAATACATAAACCAAACTGGCCAAAGAGAACGAAGTAGCGCCATTCATTACATATTTGTGGAAAACTTGTCGTTTATAAATGGCCGTAAATGTCCAATAACAATTACATACTATATCGAAAAACGATGACATAAACAATGTCAGCAAAGACCAACTGTAGAGATTATTAAAACTCATATAGATTTCCCACATACGCAAATAAATCAAACGCATATAATTGACTTTTTCATATTCTTCCGGATTATAAGGCTGCCAAATATCACTTGAAAATTTCGATTTGGGTTCATTTTGCTTAGCTACGGCTGCTATAACATCTCTTAGTATTTGTATTCTACGATTAAAAGTCATTGTAGTAAATATGATTTGTAAATAACGTGTGCGTAGACTGGCGGTTATGGGTAAAAGATACCAAAATACTGGACTGATTTTCGAAATGCAATTGATCCACATTTTTAAGCCATCGCATACCAGTTGGCAGAATAAAATTAGTATTAAACGTTTGGTTAAACAATTGTAGTTTATATTTTCCTGTACATTGACATTTAAATGTTGATTTAATAAATCGTCTACCTCTTGCTTTAGTTTAATCAATCGTTTGTAGTACCTTTCTTTACAAATTGTCTCCAATAAAATAATGATATTAACTGTACCGTTAGCTAAAAATGAGGCAGTGCCTACAAGGCCGCCTACAGAGGTATCACCGCCATTCATACGCCAATAAAACATTAAGAATACCACTGTAGATAACCAGCACAAATAGAAGATTCTTATTAAAGCTGAAAGCCAAGGTAGACGTGGTATGGTTTGAAAGCCATTTATGTAAAATGTATTTAACAAATAGACTTGTAAGATTTTTTGAGCGAGTTTCATTTCTAGTGAATAAATTCGAAAGACTAAATTAAAATGCCAAGAAAAGGAAATATTTAAGCCGATTTATCTAGTCATAAAAGTTTTAGTTGCAATGATTTGCAGTTTTTTATTGTTTTAAAAGCTTAAGCACTTAACTTTTTAGTTATCTATCATCAATTTTACTAAAATCCTTTTATTTTTTCTTTTGGGGCAGTTTATTTAAATAAATTAATGATATATTACTATAATTATACAGTTAAATATTTAGGTGAATTAATCTATAAATGTTTGTATATTGTTTGAGAGTATGAATGAAATACTTTTGACTTGTACTTTGTATGTATTAAAATGGGAAATACAATATATTTCTTCTCAATTTGAGGACTTAGATTCATTCATATGAAATTGTATAAGAATAATGAGATAAGTAGTTGTAGCTCCCACGATCTGTAAGGAAATAAAATGTTATTTAAAACCTTAAAGTTTTGTTTTAAACATTCTTACCGTGTAAAGCAGTGTACAGTCGATACTAAAGAAGCCAGCAGCAGTAATAGACATTTTTTGATGCAACAATTGTAATGAGAATTGTTCAATCTGGAAAAAAGGGAGAAAGGTTTATCACTTCTTTAAGAAAAATTGCAAGTGATAGGATTTGTGATGGGGTGGTGATCTTGGAGGCAATTAATTTATAATCGTGAAATATTATAGAGTTAAGGTAACACGGAAAATTATTATGATTCGAAAATGATCCTTGATCTTGAAATAACTCACCACTGAATTATGATTATCGTTCATAATATCGATATCAATACGATGTAAACCTAAAGCAATGCTATTTGTCTAAAATAAAAGAAACAAAATCAGTTTGGTATTGAAATTAAAATTAAAACCTTTAACTTACAGTTTGCACCGTTCTCTCACACAATATCGCCAACACCAAAACATTCAACAAATGTGGTATACTCCATACGGCACTGCCAGCAATGAGTAGAAAATCATTTCTGGTCGAATGGAAATCTTGAAAATTATAAAAAATCCAATAACAATTTGAGGTAATCGATATAAAATCATTGCCCACATTAATCAACATGGAAACACCAAAATAACCATTTAAAATTTCACTTAAATTAAACAAACGATTGTAGACATCACGTACAATAAGTAGTTTCTTCAATTCAGGATTTTCCATATCACAACGACGTTTCTTTAACATTGAAGATTCCAGCAAGGCTAAAGTGTGAGAAATATTTAAAGAAACTTGACCATTAAGACCATCCATTAAGTTCACATCATTTGGCTCGCATATATGTTTTCTTAAATTAATTTGATTTAAAACTTTCACTAATAAATCAAATCTATGTTTCAATATAGACATACTGGTGAACATTTGAAAATAACGTATGCCGCATATTAACAAAGGCATTAGATAGAAAATCCAAAAGAGTATAAAATTTTGTTCTTCAGCTACTAGTTTTGAAGCTAAAATGAAGAATTCGGCAGCCAAGTAAAAGAAAGCCATTAGTATACCACGTTGTATGGTGGTGCGACGGAATTTTCTAAAATGAAATAAAAAGAAAAATTTTTAATATAAATTTTGTACAGCTGCTAGTGGAATTTCATAAAAAGCAATAAAAAGAAAAAAGTTGGCAACTGATCTTTGTAAAATTTAAAACAAAGATGTTGTGACGATTGAGTGATAATATTAAACAGAAAAGTGTATTTGTGCAAAAATTAAAAAAAAACTTGGAATTTTATAAAAAGAAATAAAAAGAAAAAATTTTGTAAATTGTAAAGCAAAGGGATTGCAACGAATGAGTACTAAGATCCTGCAGAAAAGTGCACTAATTAACTGTATAACTAACATATATATGGCCCAAACTTACTTATTATTCACATCCACATTGAGGGAACATTCAAATATACGATCAATTTCCTTTACTTCCTCATAAAAACGTTTCTGTTCCTTGCGCCTAACTAAACACTCCGATAATGATACAATATGAGCTACACGTATACCCACCATTTGTATAAAATCCACCGTTTGTCCAACATCATTATCGTTGGTCTTAATAAAATCATCATCCGTAAAGAGACCATAAAGCATAAATGCCACCGATGATAAAATCACAATAAAAACATAGATTTCCAATAGCCTTGATCTTTTTAAAATCCATAATTTACGATCTATAAGACTGGGTGATAGACAGGCTATTTGATATATGATATGTATACCCGATACTGATTCTAATATATCCATTACTTTAGTGAATCTAAAGGAGAAATTAAAATAGAAAACGTGATACTTTTCTTTTCTCAAAAATTTTTGTTTATAAAAACTTTGTTTACCATTTTAACGTGTGTTTAGTTTAACAATTATAGAAATACTGTTTATTTTTGGTCAATGCTTTACGCTGTCATTTCATACTACTTTGTTTTGATTTTTTTTTGTTTGTGTCAACTGTCCATAAATCCATCATTAAGTGTTATCAGTTACGATTGTTATTTAATTAACTGATAAGACATTTTTGGCAGATAATTGTCTGTGAGAATGCTGTTGCAAAAGTACTTTTTTTTCAATTGGCAATAAGTACATAAGTACATGTGGAAAAAAAGTTCCAAAAAAATTAAGGGTCTTAAATTTTTGGGGGTGTTCATTCATAATTTCGAAAGAGTTATTAAGTAATGATAAGGACCTTCTAGATTTAGAGGTTGTACTTATTCCTGGTATGTTGACTCTATATATTAAAACAAATATTTGGTTTGTTGGTCTTAATATGTGTTTACTATACTATGTGAAACTGTTACTTACAGATCCAGTTTGCATATTCAGAATTGAATGCTTTTTGTATCATTCGTTGTGAAACTGTTACTTACAGTTCCAGTTTGTATGTTCTGAACTAAATGCTTTTTAATATAAAACGCAAAGTCCATCATGTGTTTTAGAAATATTTAGCTTGTGAAGTTATTTTTAAAACATTTTTTTATAGTATGTACTAAATACACATCCATCCATCATAATTTTATATCAGTAGCAATTAATGTTAACTAAACGTATACGATAAAATATACTACATGAATCAAATAAAATATATATTCAGACACAAAAAGTAAACAAAAAAAATTTTTGTGAAGTAGCATTAAAGTAGCCATATGATAAGTTTGCTAATTTCCTATGCTTGCAAATGCAAAATTTTGCATGTCATTGCTTAAAAAGCAGAAGGCTTTTATAATTATTGATAATTGATATTTTCATCATCTAATTAATGGCTTAAAGCTCACTTCCCGTGTCACTTAAAATAGATTCTTTTTTATATCTGCTAAACAGTCTCTTTTGTTGTATATACAAATTTTTTCTCAGTGTATTCACGTGTATTACTTTATAACTCGTTTAAGTATTTATAATGCTACTAAATTTGCACACTTAATTATGCTAAAAAGTATTTATAGCGTTAAATATTCAATTAAATTTACCGTTTAACTATTGCCGTAGTGAGGATTTGTTAAGCGTATTACGGTTGAAAGAAAACTGGCATTATTTTATTCATTTACATTACTCTAATAGCAATTGTTGTATTCTCTTCCATTTGCACGTTTTCATTTCGTTTTTTTTTTGTTGCTGTTAATCTTAACATTTCCGCTCCCCATATTTGTCAAATCAATCATTTAGTTATTGTTGTTTTTCTCATAAAAATTTCTAATGCTTTTCACCTTTACCACTATCATTGTCAAGTTCAATTAGTTTAGTTAGCTAATTTAAGTGTTTAAATATTAGGCTATTAATTTGCTGATAAATATTTGTAAATACTAACCGGTAATAGAAATATTAGATATATTTTTTATTTGCTGATTAAGTATTGACCCAAAGAAAGATGAAATATACTTTCCAATTGGGGAAAATTCTTAAGAAAAACATTGGTTGGGGTAAAAAATTGCAGAAAATTTTCTTTGAGATGAATGATAGACCATTGCAGTAATACTAGACTCTTAAGTGTCAGATTAAACTAGAGATGGCGGGAGAGTATCTAGAAAAGCGACTTACGTAATATGTAATCCTCTGATTACCCTTTAATTCCGATTCTACAAGGAAATTTAAGTAACAGAGTTGCTGAATGAACTATAATCTTCTATCCTAAAACGAAAAGTATCTGTGAGACATTAATTCGAGATAGGCGATTGGGTCAAGCGGAGCATTAGAACAAAACTCTGCAGGAATCTGTTTTTATAACAATGACTGTAAACTGAGAGACTTAGTGGGTCTAGGAAACTACTTAAATAACATGGAAAGTCTTCCTAATCACAACAGTAGCCTCCATGAGGAAATCCACGCTATCACAGGACATATAAAATGGATTGGAAAGAATATGGCACCAAAATTGGTTAACATAACTTCCGCGAGCAGACTTAATTGGACTGTAAGGGATACGAGTAACTGAATAGTAATCTAATGGTATGCTTAGAATCGCATAAGTGCCAGGCCATTGGAAGATGGAGGACTTAATGTACTTACAGCAAGTAGTGAAGAGGGAACTTGAGGAAATTACCTGATGATTTCGTAAACGTTCGACGTAACGAGAGCTGAATTAACAAGAGGAGGAAGAGAAGCCTATTCCGAAAGAATAAGTATAGAGGACAGGAAACTCAGAAACACTTTATCTGTTATTATTAGGCTATCGTCGAAGACTTGTTTTAAGTACCAGATATAATACCTCAGACAGTGAACGCTGGAAATTTTTTTCTGTTGCTAAGAGGCTTTTGACGAAATTAGATCTAAATATTTTATATATCCATATCCCTCAGGAACATAGATTTGGAAACTCTGAATATCCTTTCAACCTATCTACTTACAGTGGCCTCCGGTAGGTTAGTGGTTAGTGTTCTATTTTGGTAGACCGGAGGTGGTGGGTTCGATTCGCACCTGAGGCACTGGTTAAGGAGCGCACAACAGGCCCGACAGAGGCCTAGGTGTATTTCTTCGGATTTGATGTAAATACATCCTCCTTTCAAACTAACTAAATATCTACTTACAGAGGGTTGGGTTATTCATGGATGTAATGGGAAGGGTAATCGAAGACTTCTCCAAAAAACTAGAGTCTAGAGTGATGTTATTCCAGATATTACATCCCTCAGGAACATTGATTAAAAAATCTAAGGAATTACGACAGAGTTTTTGAATATAGTTTCTACCTAGCGGTATTGGGTTATTAATGAGTGTAATGAGAAAAGTGATTTTGCTATCAATAAGCCTTAAACATTTGTTTTTATTTCAGTGTAAAAAGTAAGAGTAACTAAAAGGTGCAACAATTAAAGCGCGAAAAGTAATAAGCTTTCGGTATAGCTTTCAAAGTTTTCTTTTCCACTTTCCAGATTTAGGATCTTAATCCCCAATTGTTCTATTGACATAATGATTAGAGTCAATCTTAGTAAATTGTATGAGTATTATTAAATGTGTAGCAATTAAGGCACAAATCTTAAAGAGGAAAATTTAATTATTTAAAATTTATAACTTTAACAAAACCAATCAACTTACCGCAAATATATATTGTAAATCAAAATTAAAGAAACGTTTACCGGTAAATACTATACGTTGATGCATCAGTTGCAAAGAGAAATCATGTAGCAAATTCTTATACTTTTTATTCACCAAAGGACAAACACCACACGAAATCAAACGGGATAAAAGTAAAGAAGTGCGCTGGCCCTGATAGAGAAAAGAAAAAAGAATTTAGTTTTTATAAGAAAGTAATTAAAGCATACCTCCTCTTTGATCACTTGACAACTATGACAAAATTTCAATGTAAACATTGTAGCCATCGATGATATAATATTATATACGCCCAATAGATTGTCCATAGTCAATAGAGTCCAGTAGATGTGGCAAGTAAAATCTAAGAAATTCGAAGCACTTGCAGCAAACAGTGAAGCCTGAGCAAATTCATTCATCAAAGTTGAAGCCTCATATATGCAGGCATAAACATGTTTAATATTTTTTATAATTTCCAAAGATTGCAAATACTTGTAGTCAATATCTAACAACTGTTTAGAATTTTCCGTTTTTAAACAAACCACTTGATTAAGTTTATGATTTAAGCTCAATACATAATGTTTTAAAATCTCCACATATATTATCAATTGTATGTTACGAAAACGCATGGCTAAAATGGACATTAAAGCAAACCAAAAGTAACCAGCATCAGAAAAAATAGAGAAAGTCAAAACGAACACTATTAGGCCAATATTGGAAAACACACTCAGTACGATGAATATAGAACGAAATTGTTTAATTGTACTTGTTTTTGTCACATTCATTTTTAACAGTATTTTAAAACAATCACCAATTTCTTGTATAGCTTGTAAAAAATCTATATGTTCTTGTTGTTTTGACAAAGCCTCATATAAGATTATGATGTGGGTAAATAGTTGAGAGACAAATACTATAGTCGATACAGTCCAGGATATAATAAAGGTATTTTCAATTTTACTTTTTATTATGCCCAATATACAATTAATTAAGATAACTGTAGTTAGTAATAAAATATAGAGCGTAAATAGGCGTGTGCCATTTTTACCACAACATTTTGTAGCTGGTACACAAATACCGAAAATCGCACAGATATTTAGCAGTATTAACATATGCTTGTCCATGGCGTAACTAAATTTAAAGTTTCTGTTTTCTTTTTAATGAAGTAAGTAAGTTTTAAGATTTTTCCAAGATATGCCAGGGTAATTAATGATGTGAGATGCAATGATTAGCAGTTTGTGGTTAGTCTTTAAAAGGGGGAGTAAAAAGAGTTTGTCAGTTCCTATAAGCAAAGCGTTTCGTTACTCTTATAGCTGTAAAGGCTTTTGAATTAGGGCAAATGTCCTTTGTTCAAGATTTGTGTCTAAAGTGGAATTAGTTTGGTTTCAGTTTATTAAAGTTTTCATCACTTACTCTTTGTTACCCAGTAGTTACCGATTTCCAACAATGACTAACCAACTGGTTGGCTCTACTGAATCTTTGGACCCGCATGTACTCCTTATTAACGAAAGTGAATTCAGTCGTTACTTAAGTGTTCCCTTTGTAAGCGAGAGTGGAGACAGTCGTCACTTTACATAAAGTCCCCAAGTAATCTTGGACTAGCTTTCTGACTGTCTCTTCGTAATAGATCGAGTGACGATTGACTTCCACGTAGGACAAGCTTTAACTGTCTCTTCATAATAAATCAAGTGAAGATTGTCTTCCAAGTAGGACAAGTGATGTAGAGAGTGGACACTTAAGCAAAAATATTCATGGTCCTTTGGACTAGCTTTCTGACTGTCTCTTTGTAATAGATCAAGTGACGATTGACTTCCTCGTAGGACAAGTACATGTTAAAATAAGTAGTTACTAGGGCAGGGTGTGGCTAGGGGTAACCCTATGTGGTAGGTAAAAAAGCTAAATTGGAACTGTCCGGCCGAACTGCTGGGTTCGAATTAAACAAGGAATTTTTAAAGACCTATATTATCCTTTTAAGGAATTGATATGGACCTTGACTTTGCTACAACGAACTTAGGTATTGTGTCCTAAATGGAATTGATTCGTTTCGGTTCGGTTCTTGTCTAGGTTTACTGAAGTCTTCACCATTCACACTTACCAAATTAAGCAAGGCACTTACTTTTAAGGACTTTCGCTATTCTCAAAAATTGTGTCTAGAAGTCTGGTTCTTCCATAAGTTTAATGAATTTCGTTTTTGTCTAGGAATGATGTTATTAAGAGGGATCTTGTCCAAAATACTTTACTTTTAGATTCATAATGATTGTTTTACCTGTAAAAGCTTTTAAATGCGGTTTTCGGCTCTGCTATAACGATCGCTAGGAAAGTGTTCAAAAGACATTAGATCGGTTCTTGTTTTGTTTTATTGAAAACGAAATTTGAATGGTTTTTGACTTTGCTACACGCATCTTAAAGATTGTATCTAGAAAGAGTTAAGTATGGTTACTGTCTAGGTATAGCATTTCGTGCAGTATATTCTTACTTTAGCAAAGCTTTTGTGTGGGATTATAGAACGCTTTCATTGAGAGTGTTTTTATTCAAGATTGTGAGGAGTTCATTGAAGTCTTTATCACTTAATATTGAGTGTTTCCTTTACTTTATTAAACTATTGTTTTTTAAAGCCGTTATAGCGAGGGTTCTAGACAAAGATTGTTGAAGCTTTTAGCACTTATGATGGAAGGTTCTTTTAATTCAGTAAAGGGTTTGTACACGATTTATAAAAGCCTTCATACCTATGAAAGCTTTTTAATTAACTCAATTTAAAATGCTCTACTAGATCCTTAACTAGGTTCTTGGCTTCACTGTAATGATCGCAAGGATTGTATACAAATGGTGAAGATTCGGTTCTTGTCATCGATTTCTCTTAGCATCGATTTTTTTGTTTACTTTTGATAAAAGTTGTTGGTAGTATGGTTATTGTCTTGACTATTTAGCATAGAGTTGCATTTTCTCTTCAGCTAAGTTTGTGTCTTGGATAAATAAAGGCCGTTATAGAAAGGATTGTTGTCTTAGATTAATAATGACTATTCTCCTAATCAATGACTTAAGCCTTTAAAGGGTTCTTGTCTCAGCTTTAGCTAATAACACTAGAATAGAATTGCAACGGTTCTTATCTAAGTTTACTCAGCTTTTCAGCATTTAGTATTGAAAGGAAGCTGTTCTTACTTCAGAAATGTTATTAGAGGAGATCCTTGTTTAAGCTTATGAATAATTGATATTTACTTACTTCAGCCTTGAAAAGGTTGTGGTCTTAGCTTTTAAGAAATAAAACTTTGTAAGATTTTTGTATTTTTCACATAAATACTTTGTTGTTTGTTTTTTTATTTTTGTCATTTTATTAATTATTGAAATATAATGGATTCATTTTTGGTTTTTCTTGAGATAAGCTTGTTTGTTTTTTTTTTGGGGTTTTTCATAAAATGTAATTTAAATTGATTTTTCTTCTTTTTTTGTTTTTGGTTTTAAGATATATATTTTGAATTACTTTTTTTTCATATAGTTTTTCCATTTAATTTTCTTGTTTTTCTCATAATAATTGCAAGTTTTGTGTGTGGTTTTTTATTAAAGGGTTTTAAAGATTTTAAGTTGAGGTTTAAATTTTTAGGATTTTTATTAGGTTTTTTTTTTTTTTTTTTTTAAATTATCTCAAAATATTATATTATATATTTTGTTTATTAAGAGGATTTTTGTTTAAAAGCTTTTAAATTGTTTTTGTTTTTATTAGATTTCAAGGGATTATAAGGCATTAGAAATGAATAAACAACTAATTAAGGGTTTTAGGCTTTTTAGGCATTTAAAGGTTTGTGTTTTTTTTTTAATATTTTAAGCTAAAATCTGTTTAACAACTAAAAAAATTTGTTTATTTTCCTGAAAACTTAAAAGATTTTTCAACAAGTTTGTTTTTTGTATTATTGTTTTGATTTTAAATATTTTTTGTTAAAGCAACTTAAAATTTTGTGTAAATATTTCCTTTTTTTGCATTTATTGTTTTATGCATAATAATTTATATTTTTTTAATAACATTTAAATGACATTGATACGTCTTGCAAATATATAAATAAAATGCAAATTGAAAGGTTTTTCTTTTATTAAACTGCATTTTTTGTATTTTTTTACTTTTGAGATGTTTAAGTTTTAATATATTTTTATCTTCTTTTTAATTTTGTTATTATAAATATTATTTATTTATTTTTTGTGTTTTTTTATTTTAATATTATTATGTTTAACAATCATAAATAGTTTTGTTTTTTTCTCTGTTACTAAATTCTTTACTTCTTAAATTTATTAATAAATTTTCATTATTTTTTAATGTTTTTTTTTTTAATATAATTGTTTTAAAAATTTGTTTTATTATGCCTCATTTGATGAAAATTATAAATACTTTTATAATTAAATAAATTAAAAGGATATAACCATAAAGAAAAATAAGTAAAATTGTAAAATTTCCCTGGAAAACTGGAGAAATTCGAAAACTTTAATTAAAGTTAGTTTTTTTATTTGAATATGTTTTATATTCCATTAAACAGCTTATTCCTACTAATACAGAACGTTGGCGTTATTTTTGTTAGTTAAACAGAATGAAAACGTTAAAGCGACAGACGATTTTTGATAAAATAGTCATGAATTGAATTAAAAGCTCAGTTTTTGTGTAAAACATGAAAAATAATTTAAGGAAATATAAAATTTACACTTTAAATAATATAAACAGAATAAAAACGTTAAAGCGACCGACGGTTTTTTGTTTCAATCATTAAAATTTAAATTAAAAATTAATTTTTGTTATAAAATTATTGAAAGAAATTTAAAAAGTTATACAATTAACACCTTTAATTGCATAAACAGAATGAAAGCGTTAAAGCGATAAGCGTTTTTAACTATTTTTTGTAATTTCTGGAGAAAATATGTTTAAATTAGCTTTAAAGAATAACAAAATTTTCCATTTACAAAGGCGTTTTTTTTATAAGTTTTGAAAAAGCGCAAATTTATAATTTTTGTTTTTTGAAATTAAGGTTTTTTTTAAAGTTTCTTCAATCTAAACTAGTTAGACTTTAAATATCATAGACGTAAAACATGTTTAATAGCATAAATAAAATGAAAGCGTTAAAAACGCAAGCGGTTTTTATGTTAATTTTGCTTAAATGTAAAAAAACAAGTTGTTCTCTAGAAATAATACATTAGGAGATGTTAAATAGCATAAACACAGTGAAATCGTTAAAATCGCTAGCGTTAAAAACGCAAACGTTAAAAACGCAAACGTTAAAAACGCAAACGTTAAAACCGCAAGCACATTTTTTAAATTTTGTTAGTTTGAGAGAAAATAAATACTACAATATTTAAATAAATTTGAATAAATAAAAAAATCCACGACGGGTTTTAAAAGTTCTCAAAAAAAACGCTAAGAAAAAAATATAAATTTTTTTCAATTATTATTAAAATTTTATAAGCTTTAGGGGTTTTTGCAGTGTATTCAAATCAAACATGTTATGCCCTAGAAATTATGCTATTAATAGATGTTGTACACCATAAACGCAATGAAAACGTCAAGGCGACAAACGACTTTTTAGTATAAATGTTTCTAATTTGTGTTAAAAGCGGTTTTTATTACAGTTTAAAACAAATTTGAATTTATAAAATAATTTTTTTTTTACAATTTTACTTATTTTTCTCCATTTTCCTCTTTGTTTAAATAATTATTTTGTAAAAAAGAAAACATAAATATTTCTTATTATTTAGCAAATTATTATAAAAAGAAAAAACAAACTCGTTACCAATAAAAATTCTTCTTCCCGCACTTTCTGATTTTGCAAATAATTAAAAATTTTATTTTTTGTATATTTGAAGTTTCTTCAGTATGCATATTTTTGTGTTATGGCATTTTTTCTTTTTTTAAAAAATAAATTATCACATTTTGAGCTAAAAAACAATTTGAATTTGTTTTTGTTCAAAAAAAGTATACTATTTTTTAACTTGAGTTGTTCTAAATACTGTACTGGGACGGTTAGCCAGTTTGCTTTATTTTCCTTATAATTCTTGTTTTTCCTAAATATGTTTGCAAAAAAATTTTCTTTATAATAAAAAGCTTTAGTTTTTTTCTTCTTTCTTTCTTTCTTGCTGAATATGTGTTATTTTTTTTTTAATATTTTATGGTTTTAATTAAAATTTTTTTTTGGTTTAAGAAGCTTTAAATTTTGCTTTAAATTGTTATTTCTAGTGAAAAAATTTTTTTATTTTTCTGGGGTTTGTTGTTGTTGTGTGTTAGCTTTTATGAAAAAGTAAAAAAGTTGAAATTTGTTTTAATTTTTATTCTTTTTTTATACGGTTTGATATTTTTTTGGTAAAAAAAATAAAATTTTGTTTCATGTATTTTACTACTAGATATTTTATATATTATTTAAAAATTTCCTGTTATTTTTAATCCTTAGCTTTTTTATTAATTTATATTATTAAGCTTTTGCTTATTAGTATTATTATTATATTATTCCTGTGTGTGTTTTAAATTATACCAGTTTATGTTTAACAGTGTATAATTTCTAACTACAATTCCTACAGCCTTCAAAAGCGTTAACAGCGCTCTATACCTTCCTCTCTTTCTCTTTATCTGTCTCTTTAACACATTAAGCTTTCTTCTTTTGTTTTAAATAACTTTGATTTAAATAATTTAAAGTAAAATGTTTAATAAATCATTCCTTAAAAGTTTTGAAAATTAAGAATTGTTTAAATTTAAAAGTTATAAAAAGTTTACTACATTAAGCTTTTTAAAGCTTATATAAAAAACTTAAAACTGTTTTCTTTATTATAAAGGAGCATGAGGTTTATATGAACCTTTCAAAAACTTTAATTAATAGGTTTTAAATAAAAGCTCTTTAAACAAGATTTGTGTACGGCTTTCTGCAGCTATTAAAAGCTTTTATTCTGTATCCAGCTTTTTCAAGATAATGTTATGTTTGTTATAAAAGAACTTAAGGTTAAAGAAAGCTTTTTTCTTTGTTATAAAAGAAATTAAGCTTCACAGAAAGCTTTCTTCAAAAGCTTATCTTTTTGGTATTAATTTAAAAAAGCTCGGAAAACTTTTGAAGTACAAAAGTTCTTAATATAACTTGGTAAGCTCGTTTAACTCTTTTTTGGTATAAAGTTTGCTTTTAATGCTTAAAGCTTTCTTTTCATCATATAAGCTTTTTCTTCACTTTTTTTATAACTTTTTTTAAAGCTTTCTTTCATTTAATTTTAAACAATTATCGTAATTTTCATAAACTTTTTCCTGCTCTAGCTTCCTTTTAACTTAAAATAAATAATTTAAAAAAAGCTTTGTTTTTATTTTGAATTTTTATTGAATATAATTATAAAAAAATTAAACTTTATTTAAAATAATAAGGAACTGAAAGTAAATAACTTAAAATTTATTAGTTAATTAATTATTAATTTTTGTTTTTTTTATATTTTTGGGTTTTCTTAGTTATTTTTTTGTTTTTATTTTCTTTTAATTAAAAAGCTTCCTTTTTAGAGAGAGGCTTTTTATTTTAGGTTTTCTTTTTAATTTTTATAATAAATATCTCAAGTATTTTTAACAACACATACATATGTATTTAGTTAGTAATAATACCTTTTTTTCTTTCTTTAAATTGTTATTGTTTTTCATTTCTCTAATGAAAATTATTTATAAACAATAAATTTAAGTAAACAAAATACAAAGTTTTACAATAGAAAATGCTGGTGATTCAAAATCGATTGACAGAAGAGGTTTACAATTAATGTTTAAAAAGCAATAATATAGCAAATCCCCTGGTCTTTCTTGACACAATATGGTCCATTGGACCAAAGCTAAAGAATCAAAATCATACTTTTGGAAGATCTTTAAGTTAAGATTGTTTCGTAACATGTTGGCGAGAGACTTTGGGACAATGTAGCCTGTAAGGTATGTAGGTCTTAACTGTCTACAAACAGTTGTTGTTTCCACTATGGATAGAACTCCGCTTCAGAACGATACGATTCCCCATCGGCCTATGATTGACAGCGTAGCAACAGCTGTAACAACTCGAAGTTTTTTCCCAGGGTACAACTTTCAAATGTATTATACCAAAAGTTTTTAATGTAGAATACATTTGTGTCTCTTTATATAGATAACTGTTATACAAAATGTTATACCTACTTGAAAATAACTTTACAGTATAACAGTTTTTGAATACGACTTAAAAATCACTTGATATTCCTTTGATTTACAGTTTCTTTTTCATTTCAAACACTTATACAATTTAAAGCTCTAAAAGGTTTAAAGCTTTTTATTTAAAACTCTTATACATACTAGAACATTGTTTATTTAACATAGTTTTAAGAAAAAACATTTAAATTTCTTTATGATTAAAGTATTTTCCATTAAAATTCTTATACATATTAAAAATTGTCACATGCGAAAGTTTTTAAGCTTTTATCATAAAGCATGCTGTTAAACAAACTGTTATAAAGCTCTTATACTTATTATAACACATTTGTCATACTGTTTATGTGAATTAATTTAAAAAGACGAGAGGATTTCTTTTAGATTAAAAAATTTTACTTAACAAACTCTTATACAAATTAAAAATTGGTGGATTTAAAACTTTGAACTGTTATAAAAACTGTTATACTTTCAAAAAACGCAATTGTTATACTGTCTTTTTAAATAATTCTGTAAATAATATGAGCATTTCCTTTAGTTTAAGTGAGTTTTCTTATGAAACTCTTATACAATTTTAAAATCTGTAAATTTCAATTTACAAACTGTTATATAACTGTTATACATACTAGCGTACCACTGTTTTATATAAAACTTTAGAATACATTGGACTTTCTTAATGTTTACAGCAATTCTCTTATCAAACTTTTATACTTCTTAAATATTTGTAGATTTCAAGGTTTTTTAACATTGTCTTATATACAAATTGTTATAAAACTGTTATACATACTAGCATAACACTGTTACAATACCCTAGTATGTTAAGAGAGGTTCTCTTATCAAACAGTTATAATATATAAATATATGTAGATTTAAAAGGTTTTAACATATTCTCCATATAAAAATCTTATAAAACTGTTATACAACTGCTTTAATGTTTATTTGTATAAGTGAAAAAACGGTTATAACAATTAGACTAAATTGTTATACTGTTTATTAGTAAGTGAAAATGTTTGTAATTCTTATGAAAATGTTCTTACCAAAGATAAAAACTGTTATAACAATTAGACTAAATTGTTATACTTATTATTAGTAAGCGAAAATGTTTGTAATTCTTACGGAAATGTTCTTACCAAATTGTTATACACTTTTATTATCAGTCGTTTTTAACATATCAGATCTAGAAAAACTGTTATACATTATAAATATTTGCATATTTCAAAGATTAATCAAAAAAGCTGTTATATAAACTGTTATACTAAAAGTCGTACAACTTAAGACATTTTAAACTGTTATACTGTTTATTTTTCATCGAAATTTTTAAAATTTCTTTCAGATCTAAGAACATTTTATACCAAACTGTTATACACTTTAGTTATCATAATATACACTAGCGTAACTTTTATACTCTCAAGGATTTACCATAAAAACTGTTATACAAACTGTTGTACATATTATTTGTCAGTAGATTTTAATATATCTGATCTAGAAGAACTGTTATACATTATAAATATCAGTAGATTTCATAGATTAATCATTAAAACTGTTATACCGATTATTTGCAAGAGAAATTTTCTTAACAAACAGTTATACACTTTAATTAGCATAAAATAAACTCTCAGATTTGTTATATATTCAAGGATTAACCATAAAAACTGTTATACAAACTGTTATAATAAAAATAATATAACTTTGAAATCGTTTAAATGTGGTTTCTGAAAGAAATTGGTATTTATTTAAATCCAACATTTGTACCAAGTTAAATGCTTTAGATATCTTTGCGACTTGGACATATGATTTCGTAAAACTGTTATACATACTTACTAATCACTATATGGGCAATTTGCTTAACCTTTTATACTTACTAAACTCCAACTATTTAATACTATGAGCATTTTTTGGAATTTCGAAATTTCTGATTTCTTTAAACTGTTATACTAACTACTTGCTAACTGTGTTTAACCTTGAATTCTAAATCTCCAGCTTAGATATTTCAAAGTCTTAAAGTTTTCCTCTCTTAAAAAGTTTTCAACAGTTCGTTAACAAGAGCTAATGAAAGTCAAAAAGTCTAGTAATTTGCCTTTCGCTCTAAAAAAGAGAAATTTGAACATGCCTTTGTATGTTAGAGAAAATTCTTGTGAAAATTGTTTTGAAAATTTGCAAGTTTTATTTCTTTTCAAGCTTTTTCTTTTGTTTTTGCTTCCTTCAAGCCCAACAATTTCTTTGGTTTTAAACTTTGTATTTTGTTTACATTTTAAGTTTTCTTTTTTTAATTTAAAATCATACATTATAATCATAATATAATAATAATTAAATTTTTCTTATTTTGTTTGTTTCTTTGCAGTTTTTAATATCATTTAGAAGTTTAAAGGTATGTATTTGTTTTATGAATGATCTCTTTTTGTTTTAAAGTTATAATACTTTCACATTTAAAGACATTTAGTTATTTATTTATTTTTTTTTTAGAAATTTAACCATTTTTTGATTTGTTTTTAATTAAATATTTTGAGGTTAGGTTTTTTTCTTCGTCTGCTAATAAATACAATATGTCTTCACCTGGTTTATTTGAAATTAATGTTTTTTTTCTTCTTTGCTTAGCTCGTTTTCAAGTTTTTTTATTATAATTATGTTTTTGATGGTTTTTAGTTTAATATTTAAATGTATTTAATTAGGTTTTGTTTTTTTTTTTTAACATTTAAATGATTTTGAAGAACAAATACTTGTTTTATTTGCTAATTACTACATGAAAATAGTTCTTTTTTCATCATTACATTTATCATTGATTTTCTTCTATATATTAATTCGTATATTATGTTTTTTTATTTTATTTTATAAAAAATAATAGTTTTCTTTTTAAGTTAAAACTCCTGCATAAGTTTTCTAAAACAAATAAGCGGTTTTGAGAATTAACAAAATGACCTTAGCTTGACCAGCTTTAGTCACAATAAACTCCGCCATATTTGTTTTTAAACTCAAGAGCTTTTCCTTTTATTCTAGCCTTTTCAAAGAGTATGTTTGTGTAAGAGTATAAGTGTAGTTAAGTGTTAAAGTTGTTCTCTTTTTTTGAGTGTGTTTAAAGTGTTTTTTTTTTGTTAAGCCTTGCTTTAATGTTTTAACAAAGCTTTAAAGCTTTTGTTAAGTGTATCTTTAGCTTTTTCGAAAAGCTTAAAGCTTGTTGTTATCATCTGCTGAGTATTGTTAAATTGTCAAAAATTATATGAAATTCATTTAACTGGTTTCTTTTTTGGTTTTTTGTTTCTGTTGGTTTCATTACTCTGTAGTCTAAAAATTAAATATAGGGAAACTTAATTATCCGAAAATGCTACGAACATCCCCGTGGCCTAGAATTCTAAACGATAAGCCGAGCAAGAGGTTTCGTGATCTTGTAAATTGATGGTGCAGCGTGAGGCCGAGGGTGACAAGTCAATGCGATATTTGGCTAAAAGCTCTTCATTTTCAGCTACCCAATAGCCTAAAACGTCAGTGTCGTAGGTAGGGATGATAGTTACCTCTGTTAGGGTTGAAAAAAATATAAGAAAAAAGTTAATATTGGCCCCTTATCAAGTTAACTATTTCCACTTACCTAATTCTTTATCTTCCCAGGTTTGTTTTGCCTCCAGTAAGGCATCGTACACTTGACGGCTGGGCTCGGTGCCTGAGAAAACATAATAGCGTGCTCTTACTCTCTTGAAGAATTCTACATGCGAGTAATAGGAGTTGCCATTGTGAGGTACATATGTTAGATCAACATAGACGGGTGAGGGCTTCTTAGCTTTGTTGGGCGATTCGGAACGTTTGCGTAAGTTCTTTTCGTTATTAAGTCTTGTCTTGGTGGCCACCAGTCTGCGCTCCTTCTTGGGTGTGGTGCGTACATCACTTTCGGCAGCCATAGGTGCAGGTGAGGGTAGACCCAAAGGCTTACCCCATTCTTTGAGTTTATCATCTACACTAGCAGATGAGGAAGTGGTTGATGTTTCAGTCGTTGTGGTTCTACTGCTGGCACTGGCGCCATCGCCTTGTGTAGTGGTCACAGTGGTGGTTGTAGTGGTAACAATAGTGGCTCCTTCTTTCTCACAAACTCCCTCAGTGAAACGTGATTTTTGTACACTTCCCAAGGGGAATTTGGGTTTCTCAGCACTGGCTACAGTCTGTTCGACTTCTTCGGCTTTGGATGGTGAGTAGGAATATTTAGCTGTAACCGAGGACATAACGTCGGCCCCTCTTAATTGCACATGTTCTTTAAGGGCCTGTTCGAAGCCCATATCAGCCTCTTCTAAGAATTTGTGTGGAAGTGTGGTGGTACTTTCTACCGAACCGGATGACTGCGATATGGGTGATTCCGTAAAGGTTTGTAGATGTGTGGTTGTACCTTGTATATTGATTGGTTGTGAGGTTTTGGTTTCAAATGTATCTGGCAGTGCTCCATAGAACGAAGTGCTCATGGGATCAGCTATTTTGTGTACAAAACCTGTGGTTGTTATGGAGCGGGCTGCTGAAAGTTCCTCGCTGCCATATTGTGGAGGTATATCATCTTGACTTTCGTCCAAATCAAAGTCGGATTTCTTACTAACACCTGAGCCCGATCGTTGCAAATCATAGCTGGCACCATGGGAAGAAGTGATACTTCTGGGTGAGGCTGGTACCTCGTCGTCACTGAGATAGGCCACACCATCATCACTGCCAGGAGTTGAGGAGCGGTACATGCTACGTAACATGGCTACTTCTTTAGGCAGCATGACATCACTTTTATCGCTTTCGCTGGTGGTGCGTGTGGTTGTCACTGTTACCTTTTCACCTTCGGGATCTGTTGAGTCTGTGGTGGTGATTGTCTTTTCTTCAGTCACAATTTCCTTGCCATCGGTGGAGATTACTTTCGTAACAGTTGTTATGGTGGTGGTGATAATCTTTTCTGTGCTACCACTTAAGGCGGCAGTTTTTTCTATACCCCTGACTTCATGTAATTCGGGCAACACTTCGCCAGAGTGTTGTTTAATCAAAGAGCTGACGCTGGAAGTTTCTTGTTGTTCGATAGTTGAGAAGGCAGCAGCAGTTTTCTCTACTTGTTCTGCTGTATAACTGGCAGCTGATTTAAGATCCTCTTTGGTTACCCGTGGGAAAGGTGATGTTGGTTTGGGTGAGGATTCTGGGGTCTCTGTCAATGATTCTCTGCCCATGGGTGTGGGTATAGATTGGCTTTCTGATGTTAAACCTCCGGGGCTGGATTTACCACTGATATCTCTGGGCGACAAAGGACCACTATGTGTTGTTGTGCTGCTTGTGGTATCTGTTATAAAGGTTTTTGTTGTGCTGGTTGTTGTGGCAGAAGCTGAAGCTGTAGCTACAGCTCCAGCTGTGGTTGCACTCACTGCACTTATGGTGGTTTTCATAATACCAGGACTAACAGGGGCAGTAGGAGGTGTTTTACGATCGGATAATTCATGTTCATATGATTGAGCTAAAGTCATGGATTCTTTGGTAATTTGTGACTTCTCTTTGCTGACAAACTCTTCTAGTTCTTCTCCCAAAGTCTCGCTAACCTTAACTTCTTTGGATGGTTTGTAAATGCTAGTGGTCATTATGCTGGCTATTGACTTTGAGCGTCCCTCTTTAATATGAGTGGTGGCTTCATCGTCTTCATCATCATCCTCTTGGTCGCTGTGAGTCTGACGTCCCTCACTAGTCTGGCTAAGGGTCGACTCACGGCGCGATTCTGAGGAGGCAGTCTTGGCTTTGCTAATGCTATCAAATGTACTCATGATTTCCTTAGTGGAAATTATTTTCTCAGTTGCTAAGAATTCTTCAACAGTTTGTTTTAGACTCTCTTTAACTGATGTTTCCGAAGTAGAAGACATTTTACTGGTTTCAGCCTTTTCGGCCTTGCTCATGGCAGATGTTTGAATTTCACTGACTATAGATTCCGAAGAACATTCTTCCGAATAAGCCTGGGAATCTTCGGCGTGTGTTAGCAGTTCGGTTTTATCGATAGACTCTTTTGTTTCTGTTGAACGGGATATTTCCTTTTCGGATAATGATTCACGTAGAGAACCTTCTTCCACTTTAACACTGCTACTGACCGACTCACTGCGTGAATCTTCTTCCTGTAAAGAGTCGATCAATTGAGAACTTATGACACGTGTTGTTTCGGTAACAATTGTTTTGCTCTCTTTGGTAGTGGCATCTAATAATTCCTGGGCGGTTTGTTTGGTAGTGGAAGCTGTGGTAGATGTTTCAGTCAAGGTTTTCATTTCTACAGGTTTCTCAACGACTGTAGTCTTAACGGTTTCTGTAACCTTTACTTGACTGTCTTGTTTTTCTTCAGAAAGTTTAGCGAATTTCTCATCTGATTTGCTGGAAACTTGGGTGCTGATTGTTTCTGTTGTTGTTTTTACAATTTCTTGTTTATCATCCTTGGATGTGGCTTTGCTAATCTCTGATGATTTGTCATCCTGCTTAGTTTCCAACACTTGGGTGGTAATTTGTTCTGTTATTATTTCCTTTTTGTCATCCTTAAGTGTGGCCGATTTATCGGCCTTTTCACTTTCGACCACTTGACTGGTTATTACTTCTGCTGTGGTTTTTGTTACAGTTTCCTGTTTATCATCCTTAGAAATAGCTTGGCTAGCGGTGGATGATTTGTCATCCTTTTTACTCTCTACTATTTGTGTGGTAATTGTTTCTGTTATGGTTGTTACAATTTCCCGTTTATCATCCTTAGAGCTGGCTAAGCTAGCTATGGATGAGGTAATGTCCTTTTTACTTTCAACCACTGACTGTTGTTTATCTTCTGATACTGTTATTTGAGATTGCTTTGAGATTTCGGTGGAGGCTGTTATACTTTCTGATTTAGATTCCTGTTTTTCCGAAGTTGATTCTTTTATGGTTTCAATTTGTGCAGCCGAATCCTTGCTGACACTGGAAGTTACAGTTTCTTCGGTTTTACTTGCAATAGTTTTCATTTCACCAGCTTCACTCTTAGAACTAATATGGCTGGCCTCAGATTCGGCCCGTGATAATTGTTGAGTTTCGATAAGTGGTGATTTGTCATCTTTTTTGCTTTCGGCTGAGGACATTATGGACTCACGTCTAGATTCCTGATCAGCTTGGGTACTTGATATCAGAGATTCTTTTCTGACTTCTTGTTTGTCAGTACTGCTGACAACAGATTCAGGGCGGGATGTTTCTTTAGTTTCATCTTTTTTACTTTCGGTGGTGGACACAATGGATTCACGTTTAGACTCCAATTTATCATCAGCATTAGATACTACTGACTCTTTTCTGGAGGCAAAAGATGTTTGTTGCTCCTTTTCTGTAGCTTCTTGTTCATATTTCTCACTGTCGCTCTTTAGACTTGTGTGACTCGCAACAGAAATGGGACGTGATGCATCCTTGTCTTCACTTGATTTGTCCTCCTCTTTCTTAGATTCTGAACTAACATGACTAGCAACTGAGGCAGGACGAGAGACAGATTTTTCTTCATCTTTCTTGGTTTCGGTTGTTTCGATTACATCTGAAATTAAGGATTCTTCTTTCTTGCTTACAACAGCTGTTAATGTTGATTCTAGTTTAGTTTCTACTTGTTCTTCAGTGACAGAAATCAAAGACTCTTTACGTGATGTTTCCTTTTCAGCTTCGCCCTTTGAGCTGACATGACTAGCAACAGATTCAGGACGAGAAGCTTCCTTTTCTTCGGAGGCGGAAGATTTGTCATCTTTTTTACTATCGGCGGTTGATAAAACAGATTCGCGTCTAGATTCTGGTTTATCCTCAGTGGTTGAAATTAGAGACTCTTTGCGCAATGGTTCTTTCTCCGCTTCAACCTTAGAGCTAACATGGCTGGCTACGGATTCTGGCCGAGAAGTTTCCTTTTCATCAGTCACTGAAGCTTGTTCGTCCTTTTTACTTTCGGCAGTTGATAAAACGGATTCGCGCCTTGATTCAACTTTTTCTGCATCAGCCTTGGAGCTGACTACAGATTCTGGACGTGAAAGTTCCTTTTCTTCAGTTACTGGAGATTTTTCATCTTTCTTGCTATCAGCTACCGATAAGATAGATTCTCGTCTAGTTTCGGGTTTTTCTTCTGTGGTTGAAACTAAAGATTCTTTGCTTGATGGTTCCTTTTCCACTTCACCCTTTGAACTGACATGACTTGCTACAGATTCAGGGCGAGATGATTCGTCCTTCTTACTCTCAGCTGTTGATAGGACAGATTCTCGTCTTGGTTCAACTTTTTCTTCTGCTGTAGAGACTACAGATTCTTTACGAGATGGTTCCTTTTCAGCCAAGTCCTTTGAGCTGGCCTCAGACTCTGGGCGTGAAGGTTCCTTTTCTTCGATGGCAGGAGATTTATCTTCTTTTTTCATTTCTTTTTCTTCTGTGCTTGAAATTAGTGATTCTTTACGTGATGGTTCTTTTTCAGCTTCACTCTTAGTGCTAACAACAGACTCTGGGCGTGAGGGTTCCTTTTCTTCTGATACAGATGATTTTTCATCCTTTTTACTTTCATTTGTTGTTGATAAAACTGATTCACGTCTAGATTCAATCTTTTCTTCAGCAACTGATATTAAAGATTCCTTTCGTGAGGGTTCTTTTTCAGCATCAGTCTTGGAACTGACATGGCTGGTTACGGATTCTGGTCGTGAAGTTTCCTTTTCTTCAGAAACATCCTTTTTACTTTCAACTGTTGATACAACAGACTCACGTCTAGATTCTGTCTTTTCTTCTGCAGTTGAAATTAATGATACTTTTCTAGATGCTTCTTTTTCTGCATCACTCTTTGAAGAGGCAGATTCTGGCCTTGATAGTTCCTTTTCTTCTATTACTGGAGATTTGTCATCCTTTTTGCTTTCAGCTACCGATAAGACAGACTCGCGTCTAGATTCTGGTTTTTCTTCTGTAGTTGAAGCTATGGATTCTTTACGTGATAGTTCTTTTTCAGCCTCACCCTTGGAGCTGGCCTTAGACTCCGGACGTGAAGGTTCCTTTTCTTCTGTCACTGGAGATTTGTCATCCTTTTTGCTTTCAGCAACCGATAAGACGGACTCGCGTCTAGATTCTGGTTTTTCTTCGGTAGTTGAAACTAAGGATTCTTTACGTGATGGCTCTTTTTCAGCCTCACCCTTGGTGCTAGCCCCGGACTCTGGACGTGAAAGTTCTTTTTCTTCGGTCACAGGAGATTTAACATCTTTTTTGCTTTCAGTTACCGACAAGATAGACTCGCGTCTAGATTCTGGTTTTTCTTCAGTAGTTGAAACTAAGGATTCTTTGCGTGATGGTTCTTTTTCAGCGTCACTCTTGGAGCTGGCTTTAGACTCTGGACGTGAAGCTTCTTTTTCTTCAGTCACAGGAGATTTGTCATCTTTTTTGCTTTCAGCTACCGACAAGATAGACTCACGTCTAGATTCTTGTTTTTCTTCTGTAGTTGAAACTATGGATTCTTTGCGTGATGGTTCTTTTTCAACCTCACCCTTGGAGCTGGCCCCAGACTCTGGTCGTGAAGCTTCTTTTTCTTCTGTCACTGGAGATTTATCATCCTTTTTGCTTTCAGCTAACGATAAGACAGACTCGCGTCTTGATTCTGGTTTTTCTTCTGCAATTGATTCAGCCTTAGTGCTGACATGGCTGGCTACAGATTCAGGGCGTGAAGTTTCTTTTTCTTCAGTCACAGGAGATTTGTCATCTTTTTTGCTTTCAGCTACCGACAAGATAGACTCACGTCTAGATTCTGGTTTTTCTTCTGTAGTTGAAACTAAGGATTCTTTGCGTGATGGTTCTTTTTCAACCTCACCCCTGGAGCTGGCCCCAGACTCTGGACGTGAAGCTTGTTTTTCTTCTGTCACTGGAGATTTAACATCCTTTTTGCTTTCAGCTACCGATAAGATAGACTCGCGTCTTGATTCTGGTTTTTCTTCTGCAATTGATTCAGCCTTAGTGCTGACATGGCTGGCTACAGATTCAGGGCGTGAAGCTTCTTTTTCTTCTGTCACTGGAGATTTTTCACCCTTTTTGCTTTCAGCTACCGATAAGATAGACTCGCGTCTTGATTCTGGTTTTTCTTCTGTAGTTGATACTAAGGATTCTTTTCGTGATGGTTCTTTTTCATCTTCAGCCATAGTGCTGACGTGGCTGGCTACTGATTCTGGACGAGATGCTTCTTTTTCTGCTTCAGTCTTGGAACTAATTTGACTGGTCACTGATTCTTTACGTGATTCAACATCTTTTTCTACGGATTTTTCATCATCCTTGGAAGAAACTGTAGATTCGGGTCGAGAAATCTCTTTTTGTTCTGCAGCGGGTGATTTATCATCTTTCTTAGATTCGGCTGTAGAAAGTACAGATTCACGTCGCGATTCTGTGTCTTTAGCATCTTCCTTTGCACTTCCTTGGCTAGTTACCGATTGGGGGCGAGATAATTCAGTGGCTGCTTTAGCTTCAGTATCTTTTGTTTCGGTTTTTTCTTTGTCTTCCAATGGACTAGATGGAAAATCTTGTTTATCATCATATGTATCTTCATCCCTTGTCAAATCCTTTTCGCTATATGTGCTGATGGCTGATTCTCTTCTCCATTCAAGGTCCATGCTAGAGGTGGACTCATCTGCAGCAATATCCCTGCCTCTGAGTTCTTTTAGCTGCATTTTTTCCGAGATTTCTATCTTATCTTTCTCTTCGATTGAAACTGGGCCTGAAGATTTAAGATCGGGTGATGATTTTTCTGATTCAACTTCTGTGGCGGGTACCTTGTCTAAGACGGGCTTTTCTTTTTCGGAAACGCCTTCTGCAATGGGGGCTGGGGTAAATTGTATAGAGCCTTTGGGACAAATTTCAATTTCCTCACCACCATCTTCACTACTGGCAGTAACTAACATTCTTTGTACAGTTGCCGATTCGGCTTCCAGCTCATCTGAAGATTTGAGTTTTTCTTCTAGTTGCTTTTCATCAAAGTCGGGTATAATTTCTGTAATGTCTTTTTCGGATTTCAAAACTTTTGCAACATCAGCCACAATTTTAAAGACTTCTTCTTCTCTGGGCGATACCGGTCTGATGGGCAAAGGTTCAGCTAAAATTTGACCCACTTCTGTTGGAGGTGAGATACGTTGATGTTCTTCTTCTTCTTCCTTAATATCATGCAAGACGGCAGCTTCATCACGTTCGGTAATTGTAATTTTCAATTCAGGTGAATCCATTGTTGTAATATGAGTTTCTCTTAGTTCTGAAGTAAAGCCAACAGTATCTTCTTCAGCTTTAATGGGGGTTTCCTTGGTTAAAGATGTTACAGTCTTTGTGATAATTTCTTCAACAACTTCCTCCTTTTGCTCCTCCTCAGTAGCAGCTTTGACACTAGTATCTACCAATTTTGCAATATCTTTAGTAATAGCTGTTAGAGTAGTTGAAACTTCTTCTTGTAGGTCTTTAATCAATGCCTGACCAGCTGTTTTAACATCCTCTACAGTTGTGCTAGCATCTTTAGTAATTTCGTCAGTTTGTTTTGTAATCGATTCCTTTACGTCTTTCACCATATCTACAGTGGTTTCCTTGATTTCAGCTAAAGTATCAGTTGTAGTTTTCAATGCAGCCTTGCTTTCAGCTTCAACGGTGCTAACGAGTTTGTCTTTTTCTTCCTTGAGTTCAGTTACTTTATCGCTAACAGTTTCGGTGACATCTTTTTTAATCTCCTCGACTGTGTCGGTGGCTTTTTGGACAGTAGTCTCTACAGAAGTTTGGACATCGGAAGCTGTTTCTTCAATTTTCTCCTTTACGGAATCTTTAATTTCTTTTACATCGGATATTGTAGATTTAATAGTTGTTTCTGGGAAGGTGTGTGTAGTTTCCACTACGCCTGTAACTAAACTAGCTGTAGACTCTCTTAGTTCTTCAAGTTTTTGTGAAAAGTCTACAGAAGTTTGAATATCAGTGGCAGTTTCTTCAATCTTGTCCTTTACGGAATCTTTAATGTCTTTTTCATCGGATACTGTAGATTTTATAGTAGTTTCTGGGAAGGTGTGCGCTGTTTCTACTTCTTCTGTTACTAAACCAGCTGCAGACTCTTTTAGTTCTTCGAGTTTATGTGAAAAATCAATTAAAGTATGGGATGAATCTTTAAGTTTTTCAATTTCAGTTGATTCATCAAGTTGATCATCAGTAACTGAAGAAAACTTATGACTGTCTTCAGTTGTTTCTTTGATGTCGTCGATAACTGTTTTACCAGTTTCAGTTACAGTTTTGGCAATTTCATCAGTTGATTCCTTAACATCTGTTACAAGTTTATCAACAGATTGTTTGACTTCATCGATTTGTTCGGAGACTTGTTCGACAACTGTTTCAGTTTCTTTGGCGAAAATATCCTTGACGTCTTTTACGAACCCGGTAATTGTACCGAATATACCCTTGGATTCAGTTTTAGCTTCTTCAACTTTTTCTGTAATAGTTTCTTTGACTTCTTGTTTAGCCTCGGTTTTGGAATCTTGTTCGGTTAATTTGGCTTCAACTTGAACAAATTCCTTTTCAAGTACCTCCTCAAGTTCTGGGGCTTCATCAATTGGTGTAGAAATAGTTTCAGTAACGGCAAACTGAGTAGCTTGTTGCAAATCTTGTACTTGTGGTTTAATTGCTTGTGGGAAATCACCATCTGCAACATCGACAGGACTGGATGTTGTAGGTAGTTGTCCTGCCTCTGTTGTGGCTTTGATATCAATTGTAAAGTGTTCTTTTTTGTCTTTTACATCTTCTATTAATTCTTTAGCAGCCTCGTCTACTGGGGAGGATACAGTTTCAATTTGTGAGGGTGAAACTTTGCATGTGTCAGCAGATTTAGCAATAGGCAGATCTTTAGGGAAGGATGGAGATTTCTTGTCATCATCTTTAGACTCAGTGGGAGAAGTTTCCTTAGACTTTGTTGTGACCTCTTCCTTTGAAGATTTACGTGAAGTTGCCTTAGATTCAGCTTCATCTTTAGCACTTCCTGCTTCTTCAGCTAGCTCTGGGGCCTCATCAATAGGAGTAGAAACAGTATCGGTTACGGCAAACTTAGTTTCTTCTTTTAAATCGTGTATTTGTTCTTTGGGTTTTTCTGGGAAATCACCTTCGGCAACATCAACAGGACTTGATGATGTTGGTAGCTTACCAGTTTCGGCTGTATCCTTTAGTTCAATAGTGAATTGCTCCTTCTTGGTTTTAATATCTTCCGTCAAATCTTTAGCAGCTTCATCTACTGGTGAAGAAACAGTTTCGATTTGAGAGGGTGAAACTTTATCCATGTCTAGCGTTTCTTTAGGTGAAGGCGATTTTTTATCTTCATCGGTAACACCAATAGGCTCATCTTTAGCACTTGCTGCTGCTGATTCTGGACGTGATGATTCTTTAGATTTAGTAATATCTTCATCTTTAGGGCTAGCAGTCACAGAAGGTTTAGAAGAAGTAGTTTCGGCTATGGCTACGTCTTTTTCAAGTTCGCTTGCTTCATCAATTGGAGTAGAAACTGTATCGGTTACAGCAAACTTTGTTTCCTGTGGCAAATCTTCAACCTTCTGTTTAGCTTCTACAGGAAAATCTCCTTCAGCAACATCTACTGGGCTGGATGTTGTTGGTAATTTTCCAGTTGTTGCGGTATCTTTTAGTTCAATAGTAAATTGCTCTTTTTTGGCTTTAAGGTCTTCTTCAGGCTCTTTAGGGGCTTCATCTACTGGTGAGGAAACAGTTTCAAATTGGGAGGGTGAAATTTGCTCGGAAATTATGGATTCAGCTATTGATGTTGGCCGTGAAATCGCTTCAGCAGATGGAGATTTTTTGGCTGCAACGGAATCTTCTTGGACAGTTTCTTTCACTGCTTCTTTAGCAGTAACTGGAGATTTTGTAACATCATCTTGTTTAGCTTCAATAACTGATTGTTGTTCTGAGTCTTCGAAACTTCCAGTAGCTGAAACAGGACGAGACACTTCTTTTGACTCAGTTGGTGAAGGTTCTTTAGAATCATCCCTTTTGTCATCAACAGATACTACAGCAGCTTCTTTAGATTCAACTGGTGATTTTTCGTCTTTCTTGCTCTCTGCGATTGATTCCTTTCGTGATATATCTTTAGACTCTTCAGCGGATTTTTTGCCTGCTTCACTTTCAGCGACTGAAACTGGCCGGGAAGGTTCTTTAGATTCTGCAGGAGATTTTTCGTCTTTCTTGCTTTCAGCAATGGATGCCTTTCGTGAAACATCATCGGAAGCTTCCTCAGATTTCTTATCCTTTTCACTTTCGGCGACAGATACTGGTCGCGAAGGTTCCTTGGATTCTGCAGGAGATTTTTCGTCTTTCTTGCTTTCTGCAATTGATGCCTTTCGTGAAACATCATCGGAAGCTTCCCCAGATTTCTTATCCTTTTCACTTTCGGCGACAGATACTGGTCGCGAAGGTTCCTTGGATTCTGCAGGAGATTTTTCGTCTTTCTTGCTTTCTGCAATTGATGCCTTTCGTGATACATCTTTAGAATCTTCAACAGATTTTTTATCTACTTCACTTTCCGCGACTGATACTGGTCGTGAGGGTTCCTTAGAATCTCCAGGAGATTTTTCGTCTTTCTTGCTTTCGGCAATTGATTCCTTTCGTGATACATCTTTAGAATCTTCAACGGATTTTTTGTCTGCATCACTTTCAGCGGCAGAAACTGGTCGGGAGGGTTCCTTGGATTCAACAGGGGACTTTTCATCTTTCTTGCTTTCTGGAATTGATTCCTTTCGTCCTGCATCTTTAGAATCTTCAATAGATTTTTTGTCTACTTCACTTTCCGCGACTGATACTGGCCGCGAAGGTTCTCTGGATTCTTCAGGAGATTTTTCGTCTTTCTTGCTTTCTGCAATTGATTCCTTTCTTGATACATCTTTAGGCTCTTCAACAGATTCTTTGCCAGCTTCACTTTCAGCGACAGAAAGTGTTCGAGAAGGTTCCTTTGATTCTGCTGGAGATTTTTCGTCTTTCTTGCTTTCAGCAATGGATGCTTTTCGTGAAACATCCTCGAAACCTTCCTCAGATTTCATATCCTTTTCACCTTCGGCAACAGATACTGATCGCGAGGGTTCCTTAGACTCTACAGGAGATTTTTCATCTTTTTTGCTTTCAGCGATTGATTCCTTTCGTGATACATCTTTAGAGGCTTCAGCAGATTTTTTCTCTGCTTCACTTTCAGCGACAGAAACTGGTCGGGAAGGTTCCTTAGATTCTTCTACAGGAGATTTTTCATCTTTCTTGCTTTCAGCAATGGATGCTTTTCGTGAAACTTCCTCGGAAGCTTCTTCAGATTTCTTATCCTTTTCACTTTCGGCAACAGATACCGGTCGTGAGGGTTCCTTAGACTCTACAGGAGATTTTTCATCTTTCTTGCTTTCTGCAATTGAGTCCTTTCGCGATGCGTCTTTAGAATCTTCAACAGATTTTTTGTCTACTTCACCTTCCGCGACTGATACTGGCCGCGAAGGTTCTTTAGATTCTTCAGCAGATTTTTCGTCTTTTTTGCTTTCTGCAATTGATTCCTTTCTTGATATATCTTTAGATTCTTCAACGTAATTTTTGTCTGCTTCACTTTCAGCAACAGAAACTGGTCGCGAGGGTTCCTTAGATTCTTCAGGAGATTTTTCGTCTTTCTTGCTTTCGGCAATGGATGGTTTTCGTGAAACATCAGCAGAAACTTCCTCAGATTTCTTATCTGTTTCACTTTCAGCAACAGATACTGGTCTTGTGGGATCTTTAGATTCTACAGGCGATGTTTTATCTTTTTCACTTGCACCAACAGATTCTGGAAGTGAAGGTTCTTTGGATTCTACTGGTGATTTTTCATCTTTTTTGCTTTCAATAATTGATGGTTTACGGGAAGTTTCCAGTTCTTCAATTGATTTCTTCTCAGCTTCACTTTCGGCAACTGATACTGGTCTTGAGGGTTCTTTCGATTCTACCGGCGATGTTTTATCTTTTTCGCTAGAAGCAACAGATTCTGGAAGAGAAGGTTCTTTGGATTCAAGTGGTGATTTTTCATCTTTTTTGCTTTCAACAATTGATGGTTTACGTGAAGTTTCCAGTTCATCAATTGATTTCTTCTCAGCTTCACTTTCTGCAACTGATACTGGCCGAGAGGGTTCTTTCGATTCCACAGGTGATGTTTTATCTTTTTCGCTGACAGGAACAGATCCTGGAAGTGAAGGTTCTTTGGATTCAACTGGTGATTTTTCATCTTTTTTGCTCTCAACAATTGATGGTTTACGGGAAGTTTCCAGTTCTTCAATTGATTTCTTCTCAGCTTCACTTTCGGCAACTGATACTGGCCTTGAGGGTTCTTTCGATTCCACAGGTGATGTTTTATCTTTTTCGCTAGCAGCAACAGGTTCTGGAAGAGAAGGTTCTTTGGATTCAAATGGTGATTTTTCATCTTTCTTGCTTTCAACAATTGATGGTTTACGGGAAGTTTCCAGTTCTTCAATTGATTTCTTCCCAACATCACTTTCTGCAACAGATACAGGTCGTGAGGGTTCCTTAGATTCGGCGGGCGATGTTTTATCTTTTTCGCTAGCAGCAACAGATGCTGGTAGTGAAATTTTTTCAGATTCAACTGGTGATTTTTCATCTTTTCTGCTTTCAACAATTGATGGTTTGCGGGAGATTTCCAGTTCTTCAATTGATTTCTTCTCAGCTTCACTTTCGGCAACTGATACAGGTCGTGAGGGTTCTTTAGATTCCACAGGCGATGTTTTGTCTTTTTCACTAGCAACAACAGATACTGGTAATGAAGGTTCTGGTGATTTTTCATCTTTTTTACTTTCAACAATTGATGGTTTACGGGAAGTTTCCAGTTCTTCAATTGATTTCTTCTCAGCTTCACTTTCAGCAACAGATACCGGTCGTGAGGGTTCTTTAGATTCCACAGGCGACGTTTTATCTTTTTCACTGACAGCAACAGATTCTGGAAGTGAAGGTTCTTTGGATTCTACTGGTGATTTTTCATCTTTTTTGCTTTCAACCATTGATGGTTTACGGGAAGTTTCCAGTTCTTCAATTGATTTCTTCGATACATCTTTCTCTTCTACTGATTTTTTGTCAGCTTCACTTTCAGCAACAGAAACTGGTCGGGAAGGTTCCTTAGATTCTACAGGAGATCTATCATCTTTCCTGCTTTCAGCAATGGATGCTTTTCGTGAAACATCATCGGAAGATTCCTCAGATTTCTTATCTTTTTCACTTTCGGCAACAGATACCGGTCGTGAGGGTTCCTTAGACTCTACAGGAGATTTTTCATCTTTCTTGCTTTCAGCGATTGATTCCTTTCGTGATACATCTTTAGAGTCTTCAGCAGATTTTTTCTCTGCTTCACTTTCAGCAACAGAAACTGGTCGGGAAGGTTCCTTCGATTCCAGGGGAGATTTTTCATCTTTCTTGCTTTCAGCAATGGATGCTTTTCGTGAAACCTCCTCGGAAGCTTCTTTAGATTTCATGTCTTTTTCACTTTCGGCAACAGATACCGGTCGTGAGGGTTCCTTAGACTCTACAGGAGATTTTTCGTCTTTCATGCTTTCAGCGATTGAATCCTTTCTTGATACATCTTTAGAGTCTTCAGCGGATTTTTTGCCTGCTTCACTTTCAGCTACTGAAACTGGTGGGGAAGGTTCCTTAGATTCTACAGGAGATTTTGCGTCTTTCTTGCTTTCAGCAATGGATGCTTTTCGTGAAACATCATCGGAAGCTTCCTCAGATTTCTTATCTTTTTCACTTTCGGCAACAGATACTGGTCGTGAGGGTTCCTTAGACTCTACAGGAGATTTTTCATCTTTCTTGCTTTCAGCGATTGATTCCTTTCGTGATACATCTTTAGAGTCTTCAGCAGATATTTTTTCTGCTTCACTTTCAGCTACAGAAATTGGTCGGGAAGGTTCTTTAGACTCTTCAGGAGATTTTTCATCTTTCTTGCTTTCAGCAATGGATGCTTTTCTTGAAACCTCCTCGGAAGCTACCTCAGATTTCTTATCCGTTTCACTCTCGGCAACAGATACCGGTCGTGAGGGTTCCTTAGACTCTACAGGAGATTTTTCATCTTTCATGCTTTCAGCGATTGATTCCTTTCGTGATACATCTTTAGAGTCTTCAGCAGATTTTTTTTCTGCTTCACTTTCAGCTACAGAAATTGGTCGGGAAGGTTCTTTAGATTCTTCAGGAGATTTTTCATCTTTCTTGCTTTCAGCAATGGATGCTTTTCTTGAAACCTCCTCGGAAGCTACCTCAGATTTCTTATCCTTTTCACTCTCGGCAACAGATACCGGTCGTGAGGGTTCTTTAGACTCTACAGGAGATTTTTCTTCTTTCTTGCTTTCAGCAATGGATGCCTTTCGTGATACATCTTTAGAGTCTTCAGTAGATATTTTTTCTGCTTCACTTTCAGCTACAGAAATTGGTCGGGAAGGTTCTTTAGATTCTTCAGGAGATTTTTCATCTTTCTTGCTTTCAGCAATGGATGCTTTTCTTGAAACCTCCTCGGAAGCTACCTCAGATTTCTTATCCTTTTCACTCTCGGCAACAGATACCGGTCGTGAGGGTTCTTTAGACTCTACAGGCGATTTTTCTTCTTTCTTGCTTTCAGCAATGGATGCCTTTCGTGAAACATCCTCGGAATCTACCTCAGGCTTCTTATCTTTTTCACTTTCAACAACAGATTCTGGTCGTGATGGTTCTTTAGATTCTTCAGGAGATTTTTCGTCTTTCTTGCTTTCTGCAATTGATTCCTTTCTTGATACATCTTTAGACCCTTCAACGGATTTTTTGTCTGCTTCACTTTCAGCGACAGAAACTGGTCGGGAAGGTTCCTTGGATTCAACAGGAGATTTTTCATCTTTCTTGCTTTCGGCAATGGATGATTTTCGTGACACATCTTCAGAAGCATCCTTAGATTCCTTATCCTTTTCAGTTTCGGCAACGGATACTGGTCGTGAGGGTTCTTTAGACTCTGCAGGAGATTTTTCGTCTTTCTTGCTTTCTGCAATTGATTCCTTTCGTGATTCATCTTTAGAATCTTCAAGGGATTTTTTGTCGGCTTCACTTTCAGCAACAGATACTGGTCGGGAAGATTCCTTGGATTCAACAGGAGATTTTTCATCTTTTTTGCTTTCGACAATAGATGCTTTGCGTGACTCATCCTCGGAAGCTTCTTTATATTTTTTATCCTTTTCACTTTCGGCAACAGATACTGGTCGTGAGGGTTCTTTTGACTCTACGGGAGATTTTTCGTCTTTCTTGCTTTCAGCGATTGATGCCTTTCTTGATACATCCTTAGAGTCTTCAGCGGATTTTTTGTCTGCTTCACTTTCAGCTACAGATACTGGTCGGGAAGGTTCCTTGGATTCAACAGGAGATTTTTCATCTATCTTGCTTTCGGCAATGGATGATTTTCGTGACACATCTTCGGAAGCTTCCTCAGATTTCTTACCCATTTCACTTGCGGTAACAGATACTGGTCGTGAAGGTTCTTTAGATTCCACAGGCGATGTTTTATCTTTTTCGCTAGCAGCAACAGATACTGGTAGTGAAGGTTCTTTAGATTCAACTGGTGATTTTTCATCTTTTTTGCTTTCAGCAATTGATGACTTACGTGAAGTTTCCAGTTCTTCAATTGATTTCTTCTCAGCTTCACTTTCGGAAACTGATACTGGTCTTGAGGGTTCTTTCGATTCTACAGGCGATGTTTTATCTTTTTCGCTAGCAGCAACAGATTCTGGAAGAGAAGGTTCTTTGGATTCAACTGGTGATTTTTCATCTTTTTTGCTTTCAACAATTGATGGTTTACGGGAAGTTTCCAGTTCTTCGATTGATTTCTTCTCAGCTTTACTTTCGGCAACTGATATAGGTCGTGAGGGTTCTTTCGATTCTACAGGCGATGTTTTATCTTTTTCGCTAGCAGCAACAGATACTGGTAGTGAAGGTTCTTTAGATTCAACTGGTGATTTTTCATCTTTTTTGCTTTCAGCAATTGATGGTGTACGTGAAGTTTCCAGTTCTTCAATTGATTTCTTCTCAGCTTCACTTTCTGCAACTGATACTGGTCTTGAGGGTTCTTTCGATTCTACAGGCGATGTTTTATCTTTTTCGCTAGCAGCAACAGATACTGGTAGTGAAGGTTCTTTAGATTCAACTGGTGATTTTTCATCTTTTTTGCTTTCAGCAATTGATGGTGTACGTGAAGTTTCCAGTTCTTCAATTGATTTCTTCTCAGCTTCACTTTCTGCAACTGATACTGGTCTTGAGGGTTCTTTCGATTCTACAGGCGATGTTTTATCTTTTTCGCTAGCATCAACAGACGGTTGTTTGGATTCAACTGGTGATTTTTCGTCTTTTTTGCTTTCAACAATTGATGGTTTACGGGAAATTTCCAGTTCTTCAATTGATTTCTTCTCAGCTTCACTTTCGGCAACTGATACTGGTCGAGAGGGTTCTTTCGATTCTACAGGTGATGTTTTATCTTTTTCGCTAGCAGCAACAGATACTGGTAGTGAAGGTTCTTTGGATTCAGCTGGTGATTTTTCATCTTTTTTGCTTTCAGCAATTGATGGTGTACGTGAAGTTTCCACTTCTTCAATTAATTTCTTCTCAGCTTCACTTTCGGCAACTGATACTGGTCTTGAGGGTTCTTTCGATTCTACAGGCGATGTTTTATCTTTTTCGCTAGCAGCAACAGATACTGGTAGTGAAGGTTCTTTGGATTCAGCTGGTGATTTTTCATCTTTTTTGCTTTCAGCAATTGATGGTTTACGTGTAGTTTCCAGTTCTTCAATTGACTTCTTCTCAGCTTCACTTTCAGCAACTGATACTGGTCGAGAGGGTTCTTTAGATTCCATAGGCGATGTTTTATCTTTTTCGCTAGCAGCAACAGATACTGGTAGTGAAATTTCTTTAGATTCAACTGGTGATTTTTCATCTTTTTTGCTTTCAACAATTGATGGTTTACGGGAAGTTTCCAGTTCTTCAATTGATTTCTTTTCAGCTTCACTTTCGGCAACTGATACAGGTCGAGAGGGTTCTTTAGATTCCACTGGCGATGGTAGTGATGGTTCTTTAGATTCTACTGGAGATTTTTCATCTTTTTTGCTGTCAACAATTGATGGTTTACGAGAGGTTTCCAGTTCTTCAATTGATTTCTTTTCAGCTTCACTTTCGGCTACAGATACGGGTCGTGAGGGTTCTTTAGATTCGGCGGGCGATGTTTTATCTTTTTCGCTTACAGCTACAGATGTTGGTCGAGAAACTGCTTTTGATTCTTCTGGGGATTTATCGTCTTTCTTGCTTTCTGCCACAGATGCTTTGCGTGAAACATCTACTTCCTCAACTGATTTCTTATCAATTTCGCTTTCAGTGACGGAGCTTGGTCGTGAGGGTTCTTTAGATTCCGCAAGTGATTTGTCTTCTACCTTAGTTTCTGCAATTGAAGACTTGCGGGATGGTTCTTTGGACTCTTGAGGCGTTACTTTTTCTTTCTCAGTCTCGGCTACAGATTCTGGCTGAGAAATTTCTTTTGATTCGGCTGGAGATTTTTCTATTTTTTCGCTTTCTGCAACTGATGTCTTGCGAGATAATTCTAATTCTTCAAGAGATTTCTTGTCTGCAATTGATAGCTTACGTGATGGTTCTTTTGATTCCACGGGTGATTCTTTGTCCTTTTCGCTTGTAGGAATTGATACTGGTTTAGAAATCTCTGTATCCATTTTAATTTCAGTTCCTGTTTCTTCTATCGACTTCTTATCTGTTTCACTTTCAGCCACCGATACTGGTCGTGAAGGTTCCTTGGATGATAACTTTTCATCTTCTTTGCTTTCAGCAATTGATGGCTTACGTGATGGTTCTTTCGATTCCATTGGAGATGTTTTATCCTTTTCGCTAACGGCTACAGATTCTGGTTGTGAAGGTTCTTTAGATTCTGCTGGTGCTGTTTCATCTTTCTTGCTTTCTGCAGTTGATGGTTTTCGTGAAACATCTTTAGACTCTTCTGGAGATTTCTTATCTTTTTCACTTTCGGCGACAGAAACAGGACGTGAAGGTTCTTTAGATTCAGCAGGTGATTTTTCGTCTTTTTTGCTTTCGGCAATGGATGCCTTTCGCGAAACATCCTTAGATACCTCAGCGGATTTTTTATCCTTTTCACTTTCAGCAACAGATACTGGACGGGAAGGTTCTTTAGATTCAGCAGGTGATTTTTCATCCTTCTTGCTTTCTGCAATTGATGTTTTACGTGAAGCTTCTTCAAGTTCTTCCGAAAGTTTCTTATCTTTTTCACTGCTTGCAGCAGAAACTGGTCGTGAAGACTCTTTAGATTCAACAGGTGATTTTTCTTCTTTAATTCCTTTTTCACTCTCAGTAACTGAAGCTTGGCGTGATGGCTCCTTAGATTCAATTGGAGATTTTTCATCTTTTTTGCTTTCGGTAACGGAAATGGTAGATTTTCTTCTCTCTTCGGCTTCTTTGGGTTCAGCTGAAGCTTTGCGGCTGGCTTGTAGTGATTTTTGAATTTCTACCTCTATAGCCTCCTCTATAGTTGGAGGACTGTCTACTGAGACAGTGTCGTCATGTTCTTGTGGTTTTTCAGGAGCTTTAGTTGTTGGCATTTGAGCGGGTACTTCATCTTCAGAGGTTATATCGCTAATTTCTTTTTCATCTGGTGAACTTATAGATTTTTTCTTCTCTTGAGTTTCTAAAACCTTAGTGGCTTCCAATGGTTTTTCAGTAATTTCCTTCTTTTCTTCTGCAGGAAGTGCAACAATTGGAGAAGTAGGTTTCTCTACCAATGCTTCTTCAGCTCTTCCTTCAACTACATCTTCTTTAACAGGAGATGCAGGCTTTTCAGTAGGTGTTGGTAACTTTTCAACAGGTGATGCAATTTTTTCTGTTGGTGATGGAGTTTTTTCCTTTTCAGATATTTCTTTTGGCAGTTCTTCTGTTGGCTGTTCAATTTCTTTTTCTTCAGTTTCTTTTTCTTCTTTAGCCAATTCCTCCTTTTGTGAAATTGATTTACCACTCTCTTGTGCTTCTTTTTCGTAAACACCTAAATCAGCTTCTTCGTGAACTGGCAAATCTGCCACTTCGTCTGGAGTTTTAACAACATCACGCATAAGATTCTGTTGAGCATCAAAGGTCATTTTCATGGGAAGAACACGTTCAGCTGTTGCGAGACCGACAGTGATCTTTTGCAATGGAATCTCTTTAGGTTCAGCACTGGGCTCGGAAGGTGGCATAACCGCTGTAACAGCTGTGGCAGCAGCAATAGCGTCAACTTCTTTAGTTTCTTCTTTGACATATTTCTCTTCAATTACCAGGTCCTCTTTAATCTCATCTAAGGGTATACGTTCATCTTCGGGTAGAGTTGGAGCGGTAGTGGCACCTGATTCAATGGTGGCTGAGAATTTCTCTTCGGGAAGACTTTCTTGCAAGTTGGCAGGTATAGGTTCAATGGGTATGCCCACTAAATCATCTTTGGTATCTGAAGTTTTCTTAGCACTGCTTATTTTTTCTTCAGGAGTTACAGAAGAAAGCTCTTCATCAGTTTTGGCCAATTGTTCGTCTGTTTTGGACTTAACAATATCTTTAGCTGCAGTAATAATATCTTGGACTTCTGCTTTGAGCTCTGTTTTAACGGGTGAACAGACTTTATCGCCTTCTTCTTCAGCAGGTTCTTCCTCTTCTTCTGCCGCTTCCTCAGCTTCTTCGGCTACCTCTTCTTCATCCTTTCTATCAGCTGAGGTAGCTGTCTCTAATCTGGCTTTACGTTCTTCAGCTTCGACCTTGGCTATGGCAGCCTCAATTTCTTCCTCAGCGCTCTTTTTGCGTTTCTTTTCAGATTCCTGTGAGTCACGTTGATGCTTCTGGATTTCTTCTTCTTTAGTCATGCTGCTCTCTACCATAGAATCTTCGGTTACTTCTTCCTTTTCGATAATCAAATATTCATCTTCTTCGTCGGCTTCTGTGGTGCTGTCTTGTTTAGGAACTTCCCTTATTTCAGCTTTAATTTGCTGTTGGCGTTTCATTTCGTCACGGCTGAAAACTGCCTCAATTTCTCTAACGACTTCTTGTTCTTCTTTAAGATCATCGAGTTCACGTTGTTTTTCAGCATCTAATTCTTGAGAAGCAGTCAAATCTTGTAGTTTCTTGGCAGCAGCTTGCTCATCAGCCGAAGGTGTGGACACCAAGCTGGAGTCGGTGGTACCACCCTTATCTAGTCTGGATTTCTTCATATCAGCCACCTTTGGCTTAGCAGCCTTAATAGGACTACCAGGAGCACGTTTTGAGGGTGAAGCACCACGAGGACGACGAGATATAGGTTTGCGTGGCTCAGTAGCTTTTCTTTCAGCAGTTGTGGTGACACGTCTGGAGGTAGTGGTTGAGGTCTGTCTAATAGTTTGTTGTTTTGATTCCAAAACCTTGCGATTATTGGCTTCTTTAGTGCTTTTGGCTGGAGTGCTGCTAGGGCTAGCTTTGGCAGCTCTGGTCATAATCTTGGATTTGACTTCTCTGGTAGCAGCTTTGGCGGCGTCCTGTTTACGTGGTGTAGCAGTGGGTGAGCTCTTCTTTTCGGCCAAATCTTTCTTGACCACTTTACGTTCCAATGACTTGGGTGGCCTAGTGTCAATTCGAGATCTGACTAAGGGCTTAACTTCAGCTCTGGGTTTTTCCGCCTTGGCCTTTGCGGCTTTAGCAGCTGGTTTAATAGGTTCAGCAGTTTCAATTATTTCTTTGGCAGGAGGTGGTGCCTGAGGTTGTGGCTTAACAATTACAACTTCCACCTTCTTCTCTGTAGTTTCTTTGTTGTCTTCTACCTGTTCACCATCAACTTGATCACCATCCTTGCTGGCGGTGTCAGCTGTAGGTTCGGGTAGAGCCTCATCTCCGGTTTCGACTGCTTGTTCATCAGTCTCCACGGAGTCTTCTTTTTTCTTAAGAGGTAAATGCTTTTCCTCTTCTTGATAGATTTTTTCGATTTTGTCTTCGTCGGCTGAAGAAGCTACGGCTTCTTTCATTTTGTTGTCTTGTTGCACGGCAACAGCTGCAGCCGCTACTGGCATGAATTTCGAAGGCTTGGTAGTAATGGGCGCAGCCGGCTCGAGGGCAGACTTGAGAGTTTTACGTGTGGTCACCACAGTTTGTATGGCAGGTGCTATAGATTTGGCAGTGCAAGTGGAATGCTTCATGAATTCCAAATGTTTAAGTTTCTCCAGACCTTCTTGGATCTTAAAGTCGGGAGTGCTGCCAGGGAAGAGTATACGTGTTATGGAGTCATCGGGATTTGCGGGCTGCCAAACCAACAGAGCACATATAGATACCAGGTTTTGTAAAGGGAAATTAAAATCCCTAGAGTCACGTGAAGCAAATAAGCGTTGATCGCCTGAGTGCCATTTTTGCATAAACTCCTTCACTTCCTTAGAGTCACGAGAAGGACTTATGACATACATATCCAAAGTACCATGGCCAACTTTGTGATAAAGATTAATGGGCTCGGGGGCACGGAAACAAGTTTGTGGTTTAAGATCCAATGACTTTAGATCACTGACTAGATTGTGGCCTCTTTCGAAGAGATCCACTAATAAGGGATTGCGATCTTTGTCACCATCGGGACTAGGTAAACCACCCTTGCGATCGGGAACATTGCAAAAGAAGTGGCCAATCTGTGGATAGACATGGGCATCACGTTTACGTTCTACCACTGAACTCAGGCCCTGGATATTTGAATTGTTCAAGCGGGTCATGAGAACAGCATCCAAGCGGTCGAGGTGTCTGACAAAATCCCAGAAACAAGCCTTGCGATTAAAGCCACCATCGACTGTAAAGTAAAAGTCAAAAGTTAGTAAGGAAATATTAGTTTGAAAGCTGATTGGCGATGGAAACCTACCCAACATGTTAAAACCATTAATGCCAAATAAGGCAGCATCACCTTGGCCGCCAGGGAAGACATATAGAGTGGGATGTGTAAAGCGTATATTACCCACAACATCCGAGGTCTCAAGTAGTTCACGTATGGAGGTGGGTACCAACATGGGAGCAAGATAATCTATAATATTAAGAAGGGAATTTTTTAAGATAAGAGGAAAATATAGGGAGAAGTTAAACTTACCTATAAAAGCATTAATGCTCTCACTGCTGGTGTCCAAAACATCAACAGGATTGATGCGTATTTTACATAGACGAGCAAAGCTCTTATCGGGCAACGTATGCCACAGACCACTGTCAGCACAATGTATATTCATTGTTATAGTGTCTGCATAGGCGCGGATGACTCTTTGTACATCATGCTCTTGAAATGCTTCAGAAAAATCGCCAACCGAAAAGGTTCCATCCTAAAAACAAAACAATGTATGAGTTAATCTTTAAGAGTTGTACATATTATTACTACCTACCTGTAGTATCCAGGAACCATTGCCAGAGAATGTATAACCAGCATGGATTATATGACGATGACGAGTAAAACTGCTAAGCATATTACGCATACATTGTATAAGAGTATTATATTGAGGATGTATTAAAACCTCAGTGACTAGATTTTCACTAGCATACTGAATGAGTCTTTCGCCTGTAATGAAAATAAAGGATAATAATGATTAGTTAAGAATTGGTTTTTAATTGTGCAGTTGTATATATTGCTTTTCATTTTGAGTATAAAGAAAAAAAAACTAGCCGCAAAATATGCTTTAATTTCTTTACCTAAACCCCTGAGTTTTTATTATCACCCTGGCAAATATTTGCTGTTGGTTTTCGAACAATATAAAATTTTATAATGTTGCGGTTTCATACGTATATTTAGCCCCTATTGTGTATGTTGTGCCAGCTAAAACAAATAATTCATAAAAACCTACAACAAAACAGAAAGGCAAAAATGTCCTTAATTTAATTTAAAGGACCCTTTACTAAAGGGTCCTTCGAACCAGAAAAATGTGAAGATTTAGCAATCTTAGTTAAAGTTTAGCTCTGCAAAACCATGTCTTTCCACTATAAGTTCTTTCGGTATGAGATGATGGTCCTTCGAACTGCGTTGAGGCTCTTTTCAAATACAAATTGAAAGAGACAATTGGAACACTATGGTCTTACGAGCCATTTTCTTTATAAACAAGAATTCGTTTAGGTATAGCATTGCTTAGACATACATACATATGTATATATAATGGTCTTACGAACCAAAAAGAACTTTAAAATAGCTTTTTATATTGTTTTGGGGAATGTGCAATAGAAAAGTATTGTTTGGTCCTTCGTACCACTAGTTTTGGAAAGTTTCAAAACATTTTGTTTGTCTTCGTAATGGTCTTACTAACCGAAGTCTTGTTAAACTTCCAAGATAAATGCAAATTATTATAACGTTTGGGTGCTAAGAACCATGGTCCTCCGAACCCACTTTTGAATGGTTTTTCGGATTATAAAATAGAAAAGAAACTTTAATTATTGTTGGGGTATTGATGTTATGGTTTTTCGAGCTATACTTTATTGAAAAATTAGGCCATCTTTGAGAGTCCTTATGATGGTCATTCCATCTAAATTCTCTTTAACTTTTAGTACATCCTAGAAATCATTTTATGGTCTAAAATTTTAAGAGTCTTTAAGGTTTTCCTCCGAACCATATTGTAATGGTCCTTCGAACCAACATTTAATAGTTTTTCAGAATGTGAAATAGAGAAGAAACTTTAACTAATGTAGGGGCATTGATCTTATGGTCTTTGGAGCCACCCTTTATTGAAAAATTCGGTCAATTTTGGGAGTCTTTATGGTGGCCATGCATGGTTATGATGGTCCTTCGAACATTACTTTTTTTGAGAGTCTTTATGAGGCCATTTGATGTCCTGGCTGTTATGGTCCTTCGAGCCGTTTGTTTTTGAAAAATTTAGCTATTTATGATGGTATTTTCCTCTAGCATTAGAGATCATTTAAAGGTTTTAAGAAATGTCAAATAGAGGAGCCAAATATACATAGGTTTTTTTTAATGGTCCTTCGAACAGCGTAATTTGCAAAATTATTATTAATTTTGAACGGGTCTTGCACAATATGAAATAGGTTGGAAAAAGCCTTTTAGTCAATATTATTATGGTCCTTAGAACTGATTTTATGCTAAAATTTCATGACTTTGTTATGGTCCTTCGAACTGAGTAAGTTACCCTAATGGTTTTTATGGCTTTTAATAATTTAATACTTCATTTAGCTAATTGCCAACGATTGAATTAACATTTTTTCCAGATTATATTTCACACAAAAATTGTTTTGTAAAAATGTTTATTTGACCAAAAAACATTATTTAAAAAGAAATAAATCGAAAAAAAAAAAAAAAATGTTGACCAACTAAAAGTGTTTTTTGAAACACCCAAAGGCATTGTTGACGTTTCATTTGAAACGAAAAAACAAAAATACAAATAAAAATACTTGTTGTTTTAAAACAATAACAACAATAACAATAAAAAAATACTAACAAACTATAGAGTTGGCTGTTAATTAAAATAAAATATTTGTTTGTATTTAACAAAAATACAATAACTCTTTCAAAAATAGTTATATAAACTAAATTTGTATTATTTACAGAATTTTTGTGAAATTCATTATTTTAAACATTTTTTATTAGTTATTATTGTCAAGGTAATTACAGGGCCATAGTAAATGGTTTTTGCTATAAAATATTTAGGGGAAAGATTTGTTTGCTTTGGTCTAGGTCATTTTAACTTAAAGTCTGTTTCAGGGCCATAAATATGCATAATATTTTTCTTTTTAATTTTTAGATTTGCACAAAAAAATATATGAAAATAAATCTTTATAGTCTATATATTACTAAAATGGCTTTAAAACTAAATGAAAATATTAATAGTCAGTTGGTTTTTACAATTTCTAATTGTTACAGATTTTTTTCTGTTTTACAATGGTAAAGTGTTAATCAAGGTTTTCTCCTCTACTCTCCAGTCGTTTTGTTTACAGATTGTTGGCAAACATATTGAAAAATAATTAAAAATCATTTTTGCTTGACCGCCTAACAATAGTTTGAGTTAATTTCCTTTGAGATTGAAAATATGATTTTTTTTACGGCTGGAAAATGAAGCCTATCAATGTTTGAGAGAGAAAAAAGGGGCGTTATAACAGTTTTTATTATAATAAAACTGTTTTAAAATGAATGATTGGAAAAATTATAAAAATTCGAGGCAGTTTTAGGTGGAATGTATGATCTACTTCGTTTAATGATTGATGGTCCTTCGAGCCATAGGAAGGTTATTTTTAAAGATCAAAAGCTGGTCCTTCTTACCTAAGAATGTTGAGATAATGAGCTTTTAAAAAGATCCAAAAGTTTTAAACAGAATTTGCCAGATTTATGTGAATGAAAGTTCTGCTTTATAGACTTACTTATAGTATAAAAGAGCGAAGACTCTTTATGATTGTCTTTTCATGCAAATAATACCTAGAGTTGAGTTAAATTGAGTTTTAAGGGACATTTTTAATTTTTACTTAGACGTCTTTGGTTATTTTTAAGATTTTTTTGCAATAATCTCTTTTAAGGACGTAAAATTGTTGTTGTTCTGCTTCTAACATAACTCAGATCTTAGATCGAGAGATTACAAAGCGATCTAGTGATTTTGAATGTTTTGCTTAGACGTCCTTGTAATCTTAATGTGTTGTGGCAAAGTTTGATATTAAAAAGCAAGTAATAACTGTTCCAAATGATGTTCAGTGGATTTTAAACTGACTTTAAAACTATTGCTTAGACGTCTTTGATTACTTAAAGTATTTGATTCAAAAGTCTCTATAAAGGAGCTGGAAATCTCCTCACTTTACTCGCTTTTCAGATCACTAGGATCTCATGTAAGAACTAGAACTGAACTAGAATTGAACTTGAACTGAACTAGAACTGAAATAAACTGAACTAGAACTGAACTAGAACTGAACTAGAACTAAACTAGAACTGAACTAGAACTGAACTAGAACTGAACTAGAACTGAACTAGAACTGAACTAGAGCTGAACTAAACTGAACTAAAACTGAACTAAAACTAAACTAGAACTGAACTAGAACTGAACTAAAACTGAACTAGAACTGAACTAGAGCTGAGCTAGAACTGAACTAGAACTGAACTAGAACTGAACAGAACTGAACTAGAACTGAACTAGAACTGAACTAGAACTAGAACTAGAACTAAACTAGAACTGAACTAGAACTGAACTAGAACTGAACTAGAACTGAACTAGAACTGAACTAGAACTGAACTAGAACTGAACTAGAACTGAACTAGAACTGAACTAGAACTGAACTAGAACTGAACTAAGAAAACTGAAACTAGAACTACTGACTGAACTGAACTGAACTAGAACTGAACTAGAACTGAACTGAACTGAACTAGAACTGAACTAGTCTGAACTAGAACTGAACTAGAACTGAACTAGAACTGAACTAGAACTGAACTAGTACTGAACTAGAACTGAACTAGAACTGAACTAGAACTGAACTAGAACTGAACTAGAACTGAACTAGAAACTGAACTAGAACTGAACTAGAACTGAACTAGAACTGAACTAGAACTGAACTAGAACTGAACTAGAAACTGAACTAGATGAACAGAACTGAACTAGAACTGAACTAGAACTGAACTAGAACTGAACTAGAACTGAACTAGAACTGAACTAGAACTGAACTAGAACTGAACTAGAACTGAACTAGAACTGAACTAGAACTGAACTAGAACTGAACTAGAACTGAACTAGAACTGAACTAGAACTGAACTAGAACTGAACTAGAACTGAACTAGAACTGAACTAGAACTGAACTAGAACTGAACTAGAACTGAACTAGAACTGAACTAGAACTGAACTAGAACTGAACTAGAACTGAACTAGAACTGAACTAGAACTGAACTAGAACTGAACTAGAAACTGAACTAGAACTGAACTAGAACTGAACTAGAACTGAACTAGAACTGAACTAGAACTGAACTAGAACTGAACTAGAACTGAACTAGAACTGAACTAGAACTGAACTAGAACTGAACTAGAACTGAACTAGAACTGAACTAGAACTGAACTAGAACTGAACTAGAACTGAACTAGAACTGAACTAGAACTGAACTAGAACTGAACTAGAACTGAACTAGAACTGAACTAGAACTGAACTAGAACTGAACTAGAACTGAACTAGAACTGAACTAGACTGAACTAGAACTGAACTAGAACTGAACTAGAACTGAGCTAGAACTGAGCTAGAACTGAGCTAGAACTGAGCTAGAACTGAGCTAGAACTGAACTAGAACTGAACTAGAACTGAACTAGAACTGAACAAGAACTGAACTAGAACTGAACAAGAACTGAACTAGAACTGAACTAGAACTAGAACTGAACTAGAACTGAATGTGGTCAATGAGTTTTTAACTAAATTTGAAAGTTTTGCTTGGGCGTCTTTTGAGACCATGAGTTTTAAACTAAATTTCAAATATTTTGCTTTAACGTCTTTGGGTCTTTGAAAGTATTTAATATTTTGCTTTTGAAGTCTAATTTATATTCTGTGACAACATTTTGCACGCTTTGTACGTGACAAAAGTTACTGTTACAACAATATTTATTA